CGCTACACTTTTTGTGGCTTGTACTGACGATTAGCTCACACGCTCAGATGTATTGATTTCTGTGTGATTAGTCTGTAAACAAACTCTGGTTTGTTTGAAGATGCAGATGCTATTGTGTCCTCTTACTTCCAACATATCCCAAAATTTTGAAAGAAAATACTCTTCATCTTAAATAAAAAAAATGTATTTAAGACGGTATGACGGTACGTAGAGCTGACGTGGTTTTAAACGGGGCTTTCTAAACTGGATTATGCAATTTCACTTCATCATATAAGTAAAAAATTATACACTCGAGTTTATGATCGACTGCCTTACCGACAGAAGATTTGGACACAGTAGCGTCGACTTAGGGTATAGAGATTTCAGCGTTGCCTGCTAGACAAACTATGACGTTTGATGAATTTCTTTTTCGTCAGTAGATCAGTTAATATCTCCATGTTCGTATTGGAGCATAACGGACAGCAGATTGGATTCCATCCCGCATTTCTCATGGGACGGAAATCTGAATCTGGGAAATCTTTATGTTCATTTGGAGACATTCATCTTTATCAGTTTCAAATCGACCAAACACTGTTTGATTGTCATCGCCATTTGCAATTCTCTATCGGTTCGTGTTAGGCACGATGCGTGGAATTTTATTGATTGTCAATTTCCCAATAGCCTGTCGGGTGTCTCCTGGAAGAGAACGCGAATACATAATCCAGAGGTGTTTGCATATTTGGGAGAACGATGACATAAGACTAGGATGTGAAGGGAGTGTGTTCTTTGACCCGGTGTACTATATTCCGGTCATGTCATCTGGGGAAATTCTGTTATAAAAACAGGGAATGTGCCCAGTGTAACTACGTCAACACAACAACGGGGAATACTATAAACTACGAGACGTATGCCAGAGAAAAATACGGGAATGCTTCTGGTCGGATAGACACTTGCTTAGGAGTTTATAATGAAACAAGTGATCTTCAGAAGGTTTGCACTGATTATTCAGCAATTCTTAAGATCAACGGATCTTAATTGGTACAAGAACCCTCACTGCGCCATCTGCAATGGAGAAAACCTGAAAACTCTCAACTACTGCGACCGGCCGCTCGACGTATACCTTCCTTCGGCCTTTGAAATCATCTTAGGCCGGGATTCAGACCTGTGGTTTCCGTCACCCTCGCTGGATATTCACCTCGGGGATTCGGTCCATTGTCTGAGTAAGAAACTGCATCTTACAGTGGTGCCGCAGCCGCCGGGAGGCTCATCATTAAATGCCTCCTCTCCCAGGAGTCACACCACTCCTCTTGAAGTCAATCTTGACCCACGTGAGAGCCTCCCCACAAGAGGATATGAGATCACAAGATGTTTCATTCGACGGCTAGCATGGCAAAACATGCGACTGACGCTGCCATTTTTATCAAAGCTGCTCAGCGTCGACTCCGGCGAATTTCAAGAGAGAGGCGGCACCCTTGTCGGTAATTTCTCAGACACCGAGCGGTTCTTTGACTACGTGTTGACAGAGGGACAGACATCGGGCGAGTCTATCCAGAACACATGGCTCGGCAAATGCGACTTGGAGGTGGTTGAACTTGCCGATTTTTGCAATGTAGTTATTGACTCAACAGGAAGAGAATGCGAGTTTCAGCGGTGCAGCACCAAAGACGTAGAAGTGATCCGCAACTTTTCAGTTGGAAACTCCTCATTTCTATACTTAGGCCGAGGCGTTATTGTTGAGCCATACTATCTTTCTCGCGTGCACGTATACCAGAATACCCACAATGGAGGTTTCTTCAAAGAAACTGTGGTTAGGGTGTGTGGACGGCAACCAGAACATTTAACTTGCCGCTTTCCTCACGTGAATGACACCTCGGTCGTCGCCAGAGGAGACTTCACGTCTCTCTCATTTGCCGGTGAGGAGTTCATGGAAGACGAGTTTGCGTCTTTACCTGACGGGCTCGTCCTTATCTGCTCTGATGTGTTTAAAGGTAACGGACCGTACATTGATCTAACCCAGCCTCTAACCCTGGTTAACTTTATCGGATTCATCATCTCCATGATTGCTCTTATGGCCGCCATTGCTACATACTCGGTGTTCGTTGAACTGAGGAGTGTTCCAGGGGGAGCCACATTGAGACTCTGCATTGCTTTGTTCCTTGCTCAGCTGATACCCGTCACTGCTCTCGGGCAGACTCTAAACAACTCTGTCTGCGTTATTACAGCCGTATTCCTACATTACCTTTGGCTCTCCACGTTCACCTGGCTGACGGTGTTAGCCTGGGACCTCAAACGGACCTTTGCATCCAGGCATCTCTCCCTAGGGGGGTCCAAGATGAAAAGGCTTTTTCATTTACTGCCTTTATGGATGGGGCACGCCTCTCCTGATCGTCGGTGTGTTCTTCTCCTTCCATCTCTGTGGTGACTGTACGGGTCTGGGGTTCCGGTCCGGCAGCGACAAGGCCTGCTGGATTGTCGGGCAATACGCGGTGCTGCTGGCGTTTGGTGTCCCCATCCTGTTTTCTGTTATCCTGAATGGGTTGCTCTTCGCCTGGACTGTTTGGGGCGTGCATAAGACAATGGCGGCAGCTTCAATGGTCCATCAAGAAAGATCTAAAGCTAGGAATACTTCAACCGAATTAGTTATCTACCTGAAGGTGAGTGAGTTAATTTAAAAAAAAAAAAAAAAGAGATAACTTCTCTTGGGATTTGTAAAGACATTGAGAGACTAGTGGTCTCAGAAGACTAAGTTAGGATGTGAATTGAACTTAACAATACATGGCAATCTGTTGCCTTGGTATTTTCGGTCACCTTCCTCAGATCTCTTGCGTAATGCGATTCACTTGGATCTTTGGATGCATCGCCCCAGCCACTTCATGGCGCCCTCTGTGGTTCCTTTTCGTCGTCACCAACTCCACTCAAGGCGTCACCATCTTCGCAGTGAATGCGTTTAATGCACGCGTGAGGGCGATGTGGAAGAAGATGTTGGGTTTGAAAGAAGAAACGGAAACGAGGTCTATTCCCACTCATGCGACCAAAAACGTTCCACGATCGGGAACTAAAGAAGAGACGGATCGGGGCGTCAACAGTAATGCACTGAAAACTTAAGCTTTGAATTTTCAAGATTTGGATACATTATGACATTAATGGCAATCAGAGAACACCTTACAATTATTGTACGCAAATCTTAAGCTTCTGTCAGTAACGACGACGTTCAAGTTAAAGGCAAACTGTATATATGTAGTATTTTCAACAATCGAAAGTTTCACTGATAATTCTTAATTCTGAGAAATTTAATTGAAGAGATTATTTCTTGGTAAAGTCGGGCACTATTTATGCCTTTATATTTCAATGTTATACTCACTGTCCAACTCAAGGATGCTGGTGAGCTTTTCCCAGTTTTAGTGAAATTGCTAATTATGTATAACTTTATTCTTAGATTTACGCAGTTTTCTTTTTGTTCAGTTACAACACTGAACCATCATATCCCGTGGTGTTTTTAGACTGGAATCTATAAAGAAAATGTACCGCAAAAATGTGGATTTTTTTCGGACCGAAAAGAGAATTGGTCTATATATAGTTCATTCAAGATAACAAAACAACTCTCTCCCGATAATTATGCACAAAAATATAATGTAAATATTCTGTGGGAGCATTCTTTTGGTACGCTGTGTAGTCAAGGTCTATGGTGTGAGCTAAATAAACGCCATATATTGTAAAATATTGTTTCAATTACTGTCTTTATAGTATTTGTGCCTTGCTACAACATTGCACAAACAAGCTGATTTAATATAAACTATTATTATATTAGTTTAATGTCATATTGATTGGGTAATTTAGCATCATATAAGTGCATTGAAAAATGAATGGAGTTATCATGCCGTTTGAGCTATATGTTGAAATTGTGCACGAATAGCATTTGGGAATTAATTGAACATGATTTGAAAAAAAGTTATAGGTGACAATTTGTTTCACATCGTCGGTTGCCACACTGACGGGCAGATGTAATCATCCTATGAATCTGATCCGATTCGATCTGATCTTGTATTTTCTGCAATGTCAATGAAAGAATCTATTACCTAACTTTTGGGTTGCTGGATTTCAACTGAAGGGAATTTCTCTTTGTGTGGAGAAAGTATACTGAGGGAGTAAATGCACCGCCGGATTTCAAGGAAATGAAGGACCACGAGTCGCAAATAGTTTGCAACATGCATCCCAAGTTGTTGTTAGGTTGGAAAATTTCTCAAAACCCTATCCCTGATGAAAACATTTCCCCTCATCCCTGATAACGGTATTGGCCTACCCGTGCTGTAGAAATAATTAAGCGCGTTACTAAGTGTACAAGCTTAAGTCAAAATAAGGACCGATCTACTTCCGTTTGATTAGGCCTACGTTAGTTTTACTTTTATTTTCGAATACACTGGCGCTTAGTCTTTTTAATTTGAAAGGGCTTGAGATTATTCCGAGATTGAAAAGCAGAATATTTTGCACGGGACAAGTCTTTCCTGTAGCATGTAGGCGTAAAGACGACTGCGAAAACGGAGTGCTAATGCATTGCTAGAGTGAAACGGTGCGATATTATATTGTCAATTCTGATAGCTCGATCAACAGCAACAAACTGTCTAAAACAGTGTGAGTCCGAAGTTTCCACTGTGTCAATTAAGGAGCCGTGTAAAGGACAACTCGAAAAAGAGTTGTCCTTAAGGCCTATGGCTCCTCTCTATAGGTGATGTTCTCTCTTCGAATGTTCTTTCTTTTTTAGAGTGATTTCACTCTAAAAAAAAGGTGAAAAACCGCTCTTTTGGGGTAGATTTATTAGGGACTCTCTTTTTGAGAGTAAGGTTTCCACTCTATCTTTTGCCTTCAATTTATGAGAACAGTACTCATGTGGTGCAGGAAATAGTACTGAATAATGTCCTGAACAGCCGTCGGATAAATAAACATAGGCATGGTCTGAACACTCTTTTCCCACACACGACATTCATATACCGTAAGAAGTTGGGTACCTGTCTAAGGCAATTGACTTCGTTTTTCCGCCCGCTGCCGCTTCTTCAGCTATAGCGTGGGTCTTCATCGTGGTCTCGTCGGTCGATAAAACACGGGGTAGACGTTCAATTGGGAGGTCAGATTTTCAAGGTAAAAACACCGCTAGTACTGAAATGAATTACATGCTTTAACTCTTACGTTTCTGGCGCAAAACAGAACGATACACACTCTCAGAGAGCAGCGTGTACCCCCACGGCAGCGCGAGCTCATGGTACTTTATGCACGATCACTGGACACTGCATTATCTACCGAAGGCCAAATAAACTGCACGCTCATTGGTTAATCATGTGGGTGTTGTGAAGGTGTGTAAGGGGACATCGGTTATAAATATCAGCCGGCCCTGCGCTTTGCTTAACCTTTGCTAATTTGGGGTCAGGATACAATCTTTGTAATAAACACTGATAGGGCCTAAACCTTTTTGATATACTTATCGTGTAACCTATGCTGTGGTACTGATAACAAACAAGCCATTTATTACATGAAATTGGCCTATGTGCGATCCAGTCAAAAATCAAAGTAGGCGTAGGCTGTCATTTTTGGTAAATTTGGAGAGAGTTTAATAATCCACACAAATAATGTGTCAAGTTTCCAAATTTTATAGTTACTTGCAATCATCATTGCCATTTTCCGCTTATCGTTTAGGCCTATGGCAATGCCTTGCAGCTATGCTTGCAGTATGCAGTAACTCAATCTGTAGGCATGCTGTTCTGTAGTTCCAACGTTCATCTACCAGAGTCAAGTCTGCCTGATATGCGACTTTTTTCTTTTTTTTCCTTCCATTATTTTCTTTACTTTCTCAATGAGATGACATGGTTACTGACTATGCATGTTTTGAAACAGTTCTGTATCCGGACATCACTTGGCACACTGTGCGCAAACCCATGAGACTGGTCAGAAAAAGTGCTGAATTTGACATTTTTGGGGCATGATATCACTTTGTGATGGCCAATATAAATTAAAAATAAACTACTGCAAGGGAAAATTAGTGACGTCTGTACATGTATGCATTGAGCAAGGACTACTTAGCAAGGACCATGCTCTATGGTATATGCATATGGAAAATACCACATATTTTTCTTTTTGTAAGATTCCTCAGTGTTGGAGTACTCTTCTCCAATTTGAGTACAACTCGAGTACTAATTATTACTTGGCCCATGCTCAATCGTAAGTTCTAAAAAAACAAGTACTCGGCACATACTCGTAATTTTGGACTCGGACTTGACCCTTAACTTGACAAGTGTACTCAGTTAACTCAATTCTAGTCGCGCAGTACTCAAAAAGAAATTGGGATTTTTTCGATACTAATTTTTCGATACTAAAGTTTGACCAAAAATATTACATAGTGTAAGCCACACATTACAAGTCACGCAGTGTTTTTATCATCTGTACATTGAGTATTCGTGAACAGGTGTTGGCAAGTGGCAGCTCTCGCAGCATCGCTGGTGTACATCAATTCAAATTTCCATAATGTTTTGATTTTACAATATACTTGGATGTACTCGATTATCTTTTTACTCGTAGTCAGCCCTTGCTCGGACTCTGAAAAACCTGAACTCCGATTTTGGCCCAGGACTCGATTAAAAAGTACTCGAACTCGGCCTGTACTCGGCACTTGTGTACTCCGAAAACTCAGTACTAGAGTTTTGGTACTCAACTACATCACTGAGATTCGTACGCTTAGTGGATTTTCTTTTTCAAGGGATATTAAGTCCAAAATCAATTCATTATACTGGTCTGGCTCCTGTGTCCAACGCACTAGACTAGTGCCAAAAAAGTAGACTTGGGAACAAATAGCCACTGCATTTTTTTCTTAAGAATCCTTCAATATTTTCCCTGCTAAATTTGACTTTTTGGGACAAGGTTTCGTTGTCTGTTGGCTGATAAACAACTGTGGAAATGAGTGATCTAATGTATAGAACTCATTTGGTTTTCACTAAGTTTCGTTGGTTGGCCTACTGGCAGAAATGTGTGCATTGTATACAAGAAACATTTTCACAATAAGAGGTGTATACCATAGTTCCCGGCATCTACTCCATGTACATGTATGTTGCAGTTAGCATTTCATGTATTTAGCCGGCTACCTACATGTAGACAACACCCTTTTTGATGCATGTACATAAGTAGACCTATAAAAGGAATTAAATCATCATCATTGATTATGCAAGACCTGTGGCATTTTTAGGTAACATTTGTATTTTGCCTTCATGAGACAGGGGACTTCCCCAACTGGGTTCGAATTTCAGCAAGCGACATTATTTCTTCTCATTTCCCCCAAATAAGGAATATATTCTTGTGTCGTTATTTTACATTGACTCACATCTCATGATGCATTGCGATGATCAAAAGATTTTATTTGGAAGTGGAACTAATTTGGAGCTCACTTGTATTTGGAATACATGTTTTTTTAATTGCCCTAGGGTATTTTTGTAATTACAGTTGACCGTACATGTACCGTAGCTCGGGTTGGTAGATAGCAAATCTGTCTGACATTTTGCTGTCATCCGCTCACTCATTGTTTTTCAAAAGGCTGGCATCGAACCTGATACCATGTTTGCATCCTATGGATTTTTTAATGTACAGCATTTTGTGATGTCTGACATGGAAACATTGTTTGAATTTCAAGATTAGTATTTATGAGCATTGTTCAGTTCCCCCTTCTGGAGCTAACCCGTCAAGTAGCCAGCCATGAAGGCACCCACACAGTTGCTACAATTCATTGGTTCAAAGCATAGCATCTTATATCGGCAACTGTAATTGGCCAAATTTTGGCCAAGTACAGTTGTGAATGATGCCCAATTCAGCATCTGGGAGGGGACACACTCTTGTTAAATAAGAATATGTCCCCTCCCAGATGTTGAATTTGGGCACAATTCAAAACATGACTCTGCAACTTTCTAAATATATCAAGATCTCAGAATATTGCTTTTTTAAAAATACACAGTATTAACTGAGCTCAAACCTCATGAGGTTACTTGCACATGTCGTGCTAGAGCACGCTTGTTGCCTCAGATGAACATAATGCACAAATGATGGACTGCACCTTTACATATAGACCTGATCAGGTTGAGACATACATGTTTGTTATGTACATGTACATGTGCTAGTACATGTATGTATTTGTTTGACTTTTTTAAGTTTATATGCTGGACCAGATGGTGCAGGCAGTACATGACTGCGCGTAATACTGCTTGTCTCCATGCATACCAGTACATGCAGGTACATGTATATGACTCGTGGTGTTGATAAAAAAGGGAAATGAAGCAACTCATTTTAATTATTCTTCGACCTGACCCTTTATGGAAATACTGCAGAGTACAGTGTTCTAGTGAGCATACATGTACATGTACATGTATACGGGTGCACATTTACTAGTATGTACATGTATGTCTGTATATTGTATGTACTCAAGTTGGCAGTCTGTGCCAATTGTATGGAACAGATGGCACCTTGTATGTGCTGTTGAGTGACGTTTTTCAAGTTTTTGTCATCTGATATTGAATTTTTGCATCATTCCCAGAAACTAGACAAATTCTTTCTGTGAAGAATTTTATTATCCAAGTTTTTGTTTTGTTTCAAATAAATGAAAAATACTGCATGGAGAGTTACGAATGCACAGTCTCATAAGGACTGTGTGCTTAGTTTGCTAAAAGGATGCACATGTACATGTACATGTATGCAAGCCTGGTTGTACATGAACATGTATTTTTTGGATTTCACGCTCATAGCCATGAACATTTATCAGGCTAGTGGTGAAGGTCACTCTGAACTTCAGATGTTGATGAAACTAATAGCTCTGTTTCTGGTTACAACTATCTGGGTTGTTAAAAAGATTATAATGTGCTTTTTTATTTATCAACAAAAATGGCTTCTCTGTAGGTTTCAGGTAAATTTCCATACTATACTGAAAATTTGTTGTACTTAATGCTATATTTGATCAAATTACAAGCTGTATATTTAAATCAGTTGTTTGATATGATTTGGCTCTACTATCAATCAATTGTTGCCAGATTTCCACATTCATGTATGTGTACATGGGTGATTCCAGAAATTAGGGATCCAAAAGTGTGACCTTTTCGTGTTCCTGCTACATGTACATCTGAACTTTATTATTTGATAGGGAAATATCACCGGAATTGTTTTCAAATTATTACTATTTATTTGGCAGGTTATTTGCATTAATTCATCACTCTTGGAAATTAGAAAATCTGTTATGAACTTACAAAATCATATGTCAGATGAACAGTAACAGAGACACACAAAAAAATGGACCCCTAATTTCTAGGATTACCCACATACTGTACATGTACATAATATGTGCGTACATTACAGTACATTTTATAGCTACACATAGATACTGGTACCGGTATGTAATTAGTAAAGGCAGTTTTATTTAAAGGTTGATCTCTTTTTCGGTTTTGGATACTTTTATCTTGAATGAAAAAGGTCTTGCTCTCAGTGCACTTTTTAATCTTTAATCTGGGCTCTTCACAGTTTGAAGAAGTGGTGTGACTCATCAGCACCAGCCATGTTACGTGCCAACCGCCTCAAACTAGCCCAGCAACTACTGCGGGCCTCGGCTTCTCCGAAGCAGTGGCGGCACCTTAGCAGTAAAGGGGACAAGCCGGTCATGGCCATCCGGCGAGAGGACTATGGGTCACAGTGGGAACGTAGGGCCCCCCTCAACCCTCTGCAGGTCAAGTCATTTGTAGACAATGGGGTCAAGGTCTTGGTTGCCCCTTCCAACAGGAGGGCCTACACCATGGAGGTATGCTGCAAAAGGAAAGTGTCCAATTTACACTGAAACTCCATACCAGTACAGGCCTTGACTGTAGTGTTAGACCAGTGTACAAATGATACTGCAGGCGAATAAATTGCATTCTTTAACTTGCCCTGTGGGCTAGTAAAGAAATCTTCCTGTTTGAAACTGATATATCCATCCTGAATGAATGATTTAAACAATCGTGAATTTTGACTTCAAGTTTTTTTATATTTGTATAATAGTTTTTAAATCCTCCACTCTTTAAGTTTAAAATTGACATGACTCTATACGTGTAGTAATGAAATAATAAATTTAAAAACACAGTTTTGCAAAAAATGAAGTCAAATGGGCTCATGAAAATGAATTTAAAAAAGAATGAGTCAACTCGCCCAGCAGGCTTGATAAAAAGCTTTACGACAAAGTATGTGTACCATCAGGATTGATGGTGAAGGGAAGTTCTAAGGAAAAGTAGGAGATTGGTTGGAAGCGCATAGTATTTTTTTTTCAAGCCAGATGTTAGCTTGTGTCAATCAGAGAGGTGTGGTAGTGGGATAAAAAGCCAGCTCAAATTTGTCGTTTGAAGTCCAAGTCAAAATCATCATGTACGCATTGGTACATGTAGTTACTGTTGCTAGGACTTTTGATACGGATGCAGATATTCAGCTCCTCGTTGTCCTCTTCTCAGGATTACTCCAAGGCAGGTGCCGTCATCCAGGAAGACCTGAGCGAGGCCTCCCTCATCCTGGGGGTCAAGCAGGTCCCCATCGAGCGTCTGCTGGCCGACAAGACCTACTGCTTCTTCTCCCACACCATCAAGGCCCAGAGTGAGAACATGCCTCTCCTTGATGCCATCCTGGAGAAGGTCAGTGTGCTGGGCTCTGTGCCTGAGATCAGGTATACATGTACGCAAATGGAGAGTTCTGGACGTGTGGATTTTATCCAACGAAATTGAAATGAATTGTGTTTGTCGCTTGTATGTGCACAGTATCATGCATGCATGTGCAAGGGAAAAGTGATTTTTTTAAGAGAAGCCTCACTTGCTATACAGTGAATATCACTGCAGGTCATGTGTCTGTTGGTGTCCTGTGAAGGACATGGTGCATGAAGTTAGTTATTGTAATATCAGGCACTCAGGTAACAAATTTTAAGTAATAGCCTGAATTTGAGGTAAATGCACAATTGTAGCCGCCAAATTGTTTTACATGCATCTATTGCGTACAAGTTCCTCTTGCCAGTTCTAGACAAAGCATGTATGTTTATTTATTTAAGTCTTTTTTTAATGAGGATAAGCTCCATCAGTGCACAGCACTGCTTTCCATAGTGGCCCTCAATTAAAATACATTCATTAAAAATTAAAATTATTATAAAAACCATTATATTTAAAAAACACAGCAAAAACAGTTTACTTACAATGAAGTTACGTAGAACATTAATGCGGGAAAGAGAAAAACTTGTAAATAAATCAACTTAAAATACAAAAGTCTATAAATAAATATACATAAACATGTTTGATAATGGCAACTGGTGACTAGAGCACTGGATACTACCTTTGTGCCTACATGTAGCTTTGCCTTTTCAGTTGGTAACTTCATTTCCCCCTTCTTTAAAAAAAATGAAATAATTTCAACGTAAAACTTTGTATAACTTTGCATTAACTGGAAAATGATTTGAATTTCAACTCACTGGTTTTTTTCAGAACCACACACCTACCCCAAAGAGATGGTCACATAGTGCCACCACAAACCTTTACCAGTTCATACTTTCTCCGTGTGGAGTTTCAAGTCTTAAAATCATCTGTGTTCCGGTTATCGTTACTTCCTTGGCCTTTTGTCCCCACTCTGGTTAGCAATCCAGCTGCCATTTGGTCCTTTAACCCTCCCCCCAGTCTATCATAGAAAGTCCTTCTCGTTCCTCCATTGCAGAACGTTCGTTTGATTGATTACGAGAAGCTTGTCGATGAGAACGGGAAACGGTTGGTGGCATTTGGGAAGTTTGCCGGCATTGCTGGAATGTTGAACATCTTGCACGGCATCGGGCTGAGACTGCTCGCCCTGGGGCACCATACTCCATTTATTGTAAGTTAGAGGGCTCCCGGCCTGGCCTTGCCAGACCTCACTTGACCATAGATGACTTTGGTCATGTTTTTAATATAATGTATAGTAAAACATAATATGCCCACGTGTTTGTAGCTTCAGACACAAGGGTTGGACGCTGCCCTTGGTGCCTCTACATTGCAAATCAAACGTGGACCACAGGGCATATTTTCAGAATGGACATTTGGCCCTGAGCTGGACCAGGAGAAGGTGAAATTTTCTTAGTAATGGAGGCTCCTTTGGTAAAAACTGTGCGTTGCTGGTTCAAGAATGACTACATGTATGAAACGCAGAGGCATCGCTACCAACAAAATGAACACTCTTGACCAGCATGGCTCTTTTCAACCAGTTAGGGCAGTTCATTTCACGTGCACACCAGTTTTAGACCACACACGCTTAAGCAATTAAATGTCTGTTGTGATAAATGAGCATAAGGCTGTCTTTTTGTGTGTTCTCTTCTGTGTTTAGCACATAGCAGCGGCACACAACTACCGTAACACAGGCATGGCCATGCAAGCTGTGCGAGATGCTGGCTATCGCATTGCTTTAGGGGAGCTCCCTCACTCCATAGGGCCACTGTCCTTTGTCTTCATGGGTTCCGGCAATGTTTCACAGGTTAGTTTTGGTAATCAGGTCTCTTGTGTTTTTTTTTTCCTTTTTAACTGAACCATTTTGTGTCGTATTTGCTGCAGCAATATCTACCGTGGCAGATGTTGCTGATGGGATAAACCGTCAAGCATTACCAAAAATTCCATCAGTGGATGTGAACATGAACACACATCTAATTCTCCATTCAATTTGAATGTAACTAGGCCACCGTACAGAGTCTGTCACTGCAGCAAACAATGCGCCATGGTGGTGCCCTAGATTGCTGCAGATATGAGGGTACGGAAGAGACCATTCTATACGTCTGTACTTTACATTTGACAAGTTGTACCGGTAATATTTTGCTTGTACCTGTAGCTAACTGGCCGTGTTTAGGGTATACCTCATACCGGTAGAACATTTTTGGGGGTTTGGCATAGTCAGGATTAATAGTTAATCATCAGCCGTAATTAATGTCTAGATGTCATGCCTTTTGCACACAAATACGAATGCCTGATAGATTGTATGCACTCGATAAAGTTAATTGTGCATGTCCAGACACCATTAAACATTATAACTGTTGAGCCAATGAGTGAGGGGAAGTTTATATTTACATATAAATTGTATGCACTATACATTCTGGTCAAAACGTAACTTGATGAGATCCAACGTTTCTGCACGCTGCGATGGCCCATTACTAAGCAAGTAAGAAATAAATCTTGTAAAGTCGCAAATATTACAACTGAAGACCCAAGTCATCTCTAATTTGAGTGAAATTGCCGTCATCTGACTTAAGCCTGTTGTTAAAAATTCAAGTAGCATCAGAATCAGTGGAAATTGTGTTTGTTTTGGGTATGTGGGTGGTCCATTTTTCTTGTGTCCCTGTCCCATCTGACATATGGGTCGAGTTCGGGCAGTCCGTTCTTGACACGAGTTTCGTGTTGTCACGCTCGAACGGTGGGAACACGACCCAAGAACACTGTTCTTGGAACAGGATCACACACCACCTCCTCGTCAGGATTTTACACGAACACACGGAAAAACTCGTGAGATTTGATTTTTGGACAGCTGCAAAAGTATCGATATGGATTTACAAAGCGGAAGACAATAGAAAGTTTTGCAAAATTAACATTAATAATTTTCCATGACGGAAATGAATTTTTAAATGGAAAAGAAGTTAGCCCAGTTATCCAACATTAACTCTCGAAGAATGCACAAGGACGCTGCCATGTTGCATGTCGCTTGGCACAAATAACTACTAGCGCTAATAACTGGTTGTACATTCCCGACGTTCGAGCGACCGACCCAAGAACAACAAATCGAGCTGTTCGTGAACAAACGAGAGCAAGCCACCCGTACTCAGCCATGTTTTTGTAAGTTCAGAACAGATTTTTTTAATTTTTAAGAGTGATTACATGTAGTAATAGTTTGAAATCAATTCCAGTGATATTTCCATGTCAAGCAACAAAGGTCAGATGTAACAGGGACACAAAATGTCACACTTTTGGACCCCTAATTTCTGGAATTACCCATCTTCCAGATTTGTGTTTGTTCCTCATATTGTCTACTTAGATGCATTTCTTAATCATAAAATTGAACAATTTGGGGTTAGCTTAAATCATCAGGTGATCATCAGGCTTAAAAAAAAAATAAAAATAAACACACTTTTGTATTGCATCTAATAAAAAAAAAGACAAATTATGATGAATTTTGAGATACAACTTTTTTGCCCAAACATGAGAATATAGAGTACCGAAGTAGTTCTTGCATTAATGCCATTACACACATAGTTGTGTGTGTGATGCATTCACTTAGGTACCCTTCAGCAGTTTGCATTGAGCATGCTGAGATACGACATTTTAGCACGAACATGAAGGCATATCATAAAGATAAAATGTTTTCACTTTAATTATGCTGTAATTACACTATTTTTTTAAATGAAATGTACCCGTAATAATTTTTGATTAAATCTGAATCAAAATTCAGAAAAAAAATTCCTCAAAAAAATATGCAGCAAAACAACATTTTTTCTACAAGACAATGACGTGTACCGCACATGTACAATGTACATGTACCGTACATATATACATGTAGCATGAATTTTGTGATACAATTTTCTAGAACCTCTTCATTTGGTAATAACGATTGTGTGTGATATCTGGTCTGGTACTTTGACTCTGTATTTTTTGCTGGTAGGCAGCCCTGACTGCTCTATGACCATTTTTTGCCTGGAATGCATTGAAAGTCTTGTTTTTAACATGTTATTGTCTGTGTTGGCTAGGGTGCACAGGAAGTGATAGCAGATCTCCCCGTGGAGTATGTTGAAGCAAAAGACTTGAGGAGTGCTGTGGAGAAAGGAGGTACATGGATATCAGACATTTAGTTCTGCCTTGCCCTGTTTAAGAAAAAAATTATTCTGAAAATGGCCACAGATGGACTCATAGTGATCCCTCTCCATCCACATAACCTGTGGCGTCATCTCCAACTCCATCATTACATGGAGGGTAATTCCATAGTTAGCTTCTTCACACTGGAAGCAATATTGCACCACCCTGATGGATCAGATGACTCGACTTGAATCATGAAATTCCGTCAGTCTCATCACAGCTCAGTTAATCCGGCGTCTCTCCAAAACAGCCTCTCTCCAGTATTGTCCACCTTCCACTGAAGATAAATTCTGTGTCATGGGTCATTCCATGAGGTTGGGGCACAATTTGCGACGATGTCCATTGTTACGTGGGTTCCATAAAAATGAACAGCTATTTCCCTGCATGTGGATTCCACATTGACATTGCTATACATCTTGCAAAGCTGAATACAGAGGTGTGTATTACTTTTAAAGAGTAAACATGGTAAATGACTTACTTTACACGTCATCACAGGTGGTAAAAGTTACCCACATAACAAGGACACCGTCACAAATTGTGCCCCAACCTAATGGAATGGCCCTTATGCACATTACTCCCACAATAATCTCTCCTAACACTGTTTTGACTTGAGCATTTGGAAACATTCTGCAATCTAATTTCGTATAAATGTGCTATTCATTACTTCTTTTTTTTTTCAATACAAACAGATCACAGAAAGGTGTACGCCACAGTAGTTCACAGGAAAGACCACATAGTACGGAGAGATGGAACTGCCTTTGACAAGGACGAGTATGACGGACACCCAGACTTGTACCGTTCCACATTCAGTGAAAAAGTTAGTTTGTATAATATGTCCTGGATATCAGTGGGAGTGTGCACGCTAAGTGTCCTCCAAGTTCTAAATTTTAACGTGGTGGGGACTGATCAAAAAAATTTCAAGGAGGGGAGGCCTAGTATGGGGTAGTGCATTTCTAGACTTATTAGAGACACATTTTTTAACATTTGGAATATAGGAAGGAAATAGGAAGCAGTTCAAAGCAAGTCAGATTGGGTGACATTCGTGTAAAGAATCATGAGTTTTTGTCAAGGTAATGTGTCTAAGACAAAGTCTTCCAGAATGTAAATGTTGGGCTTAACATTTTTAAAACTTGATTTACATGTAGCGTAGTGGCTATTTTTTCGAACACAGTTGGCAACAAGCAGGCTACTTCTGTTGGAAAACAGTGCATGTTTCTGGAAGGTGCCTTACTAAGTGCACATGTACATATACATGTATATGGGGGAGGTTGAAAAATTAGGCTGGAACAAGTTGCCAAGTGGTTAAAAAAAATGGCTCCCGACCAGACAGGCAGGGGTTTGAATCCAGCTGCTGGCTATAAGTTCCAGCTTTTGTCGAGCCACTTCACCCCTGTTTGTCTCTCTCCAACCAGGAGTATGAATGGGTATCGGCATTAGATGGAGAGCAACCTGTGAGTGACTGGCAATCCCATCCATGGGGGAAATACACATATTCTTAGTCGTAGGAAACGAGATAATCACTGACCTAATGAGTCAAATTGCACAGAGCAGTCTATGAAAGCATGTTTATCAAGACCACAAACATGTTTGCTCTTTCATTTCATTCCCGAGGACTGTTCTGTAATACAACCCTCCTCTGTGATGCACAAATGCACTTTGCACATGCAACATTGATTTCCTAACTCCTCCTTAGAAACCCTGATATTTTTGCCCCTCAAGCGATATTCTGAGTTTTTTCAAGGGCCAACATCCACTGTCTTTGGTTAGATTGCCCCCTGGGCTTCGTGCATCATCAATGGCATCTTCTGGAACATTGGCCACCCGCGCTTCCTGACCAACATGGACACCAAGACGCTGCTTAGCCCTGAGATGAGCCCCGTGGCCCCTGAGGCGCCGGGCTGCCCCCGGCTGCCCCACCGTCTGCTGGCCATCTGCGACATCACGGCCGACCCAGGGGGCTCCATCGAGTTCATCGAGGAGTGCAGCAGCATCGAGAGCCCCTTTGACCTCTACGATGCCAACCACAAGCACCAGCACTTCATGAGTCAAAGGTTAGTATACGTTGCTTTTTTAACCAGGTTTTTATCCTCTTGCTTTTTCAAGGATCCTTCAAAATCCCAGGGTTTGAAGGATTTTGCTGGATTGAGGACAGAACCCAGCCACCCTGACTTCACATACATGTAGTCCTTGATGCTTTTTATGTCCTTGTACATGTTGTAGCCTTGAAGCATATCAGAAAATGCATCATGCAGTAGGTTTCTGCACGTTGGAGGTTTTAGAGGGTTTCAAAGGGTTCAGGAACTGCTACAATGTAAGAAACTTGTGGAAGCTTCATAATGCTGAGTACATCCATAGATCAGGCCCATAATTGTGTTGGACTCGCAGTGCCCCTCGATCAAAGCCCAGGGAAATTTGTTAGGAATGTATGCATGCAATCGTGTTTTGAATGAGCAACAGTCAGGTACATGTAGCTTTTGTTTAATGGCGGAGCCAATTTGGTCAGGCTCATTTCAACAAGAATGCTGCTTATTATTTGAAACACACATTTGGCTACTGGTGTAGGGGTTCAGTTTGGGAATGAGATATACATAAAAATGTGATGTTGAACTGACACGTTGCATTTTATACATGCAAACACAGGTTTACATATATACGGGTATGTATGTACTGTATGTATGTGATGCAGAGCATATGAAACAATGTGCCCAAGTAGAACGGTCGGCCTTGTGTCTCTCATTTTAACTCCTGTGGGGTTACTTGAGCATAGACAGTTTTTTTTGTCACTTGCTGTAAACCCAAGTGTTCCATGTACCCACGCACTTGCCTGGTTCTCCTCTGATTGATAGTTGCCTAATAGCCAGTCACATGGCTGTCTGCTTCTACGTGGTTACCAGGTTGAATTGTGACTTTCTCTGAGAGTCTGATTGGTTAGTAGATGTGTTGAGGCCAGTGGAATCACGGTTTTGTCGGCACACCTTTCCAATGACATGGAATCAAGTGAAATCGGATGCCAAAAAATCCATCTAGGCACCAGGTGTGCAGTCAGAGAGGTTTGATTTCTTTCAGCACACACCTGTTTGGTCTGTACTTACAATGGCCCGGTGGTCCGTCGAGCCAGGTAAACAGGCATGACAGGAGAGGTGTGCAGTGGGCTTATGGTTCCTGGTTAGTGCAGTCCAGTGGCAAACTTTGTCAGTTCATCCACGAAGAACAAGATATTTTGACGTACAGTAAACATTGCTTGATAGGCTCACTTACAAAATGGGGGACAAGGTTGTGCCTCAGTTTTTCTTTTCCTGTCCAAGTACCGGTGTGAGTGCAAGAAGAATTAAATGTCACATCGTGGGTCAAGTTCTGCTGCAAACGTGTACATGTACATGTAGCTCGACTACTAATCAATTGTTTTCAGTAATGCACTTGTTGTCCACACGGTGTTTGTGGTCAATTATATTTTGAATGGTTGTATTCAAGCAAATTGTTCCTACCACACCGATAAATAAAATAGGCTATTCGTCAGTGAGACCATGCCTGTGGGCCTGGTTCCAGTGATCTACTACCTGTAGCTGGTCCAAAACCATCCATTGTTCATGTAATGTTGGTCGAATTCCGTGTGCGGGTAACTGCGGTCATTGCTTGTACTTGCTTGAGATTTCAAAGTTGTTGTTGCATTCATTCTCTCCTTTTTAAAACCATGCTTGTCCGTGTTTGGTAGACACTGTACATGTGCTGAATCATAATGCCTGTGATTTAGTTGGATGTATGTGGTCAGAAGATGGAAACATTTTCCATTAGCTGCCCATTGATAGGGAAATGTTAATTTTTCTTCTCTTGTGTTTTTCGTTTCACCGTCAAATCATCATGATCATCATATCGCTCTTCCATCTGTCATTCTGCAAGGACAAGGTTTGTATGTACTGTATAACAATAACTGTCCCACTTTGGACCAGTCAGTTAAGAGTTTGTATTTGAGCTTGGTCGTTTTGATTTCACTTAATTTTTCGTTACAAAAATTTGTTTATCTAACACTGTATGCAGGAAATGCAGGTGTTTTTTTTTTCATTTGGGCTCCTCAGCATTTAAAAACAGTGAAACCCTTCTGATGTGAGAATTGTAGATGGTTTTAACGAAGCATTGTTGTGCTTAGCTGTGCTCCTTTTTCTGTGGGCACTTTGCATTCTACATCTCTGTTTTTGTATTATCTAGACTTTCTGTTTAAACTCTTTCTCGTCTGGTTGTCATTTGACCATGTAGTCTTTTATTGGTTTTCATTTTTGTCACTGCCGTTGTAAGCAGCTTCTGTTTGACAGAAATTAACCAAACCATTTTCCTCATGTTTAACCCTATAACCCGCATCAAACCCTCCGAAATCTCCTGTGAGGTTCAGGGAGGATTGTTTCCAGGATTGAAAATGCATCATCAGTCTGGGCAAAGAGGCAACCGAACATCAAAATGTGGGTCACAAAAATCAGGACCGTGTGGGATTTTCAGGTCGGACAGTAACGGAATGTTGAGGCAACCCGGATTTCCTTGTGTGTAAAGCGGCAACGTGCACACGCTCAAATGTGCAGTGTTCACTCACTGTATGTTGCCCCATTTCTAAAGCCTTTAAACTGAAAATTTGGGCGTAGTGAGACATGACAGTGCAGTGAGTGTAGTGAAAATGTTTCAGGACTAGGAAGAGGCTTATATGCTTCTGTACTAGTGAGGTAATGTATTTTGTCTGGATGCATTTTTTTTCTCTCAAGTAGTACAAACATGATCACATAACCCATTTCAGTCTTGCTTTCTGAAAACAACAGAAGTGCAGACCATTTTTAGCACAATATCACCCCGCTCATATGCACAAAGTACTCGGCTAATTGCAGAAGCAAAATTGTGGCTGCTGTGAGCCCCGAGTTGGAGCAGTTTTCCTAGCAACGGAGGCTCCTTTGGTCAGCACTGCACTTCACTACTTCACAAACAAGCTGTGAAATGCTTGCATTGTGGGCGCATCACTGCCAGCAAAATGATCACTCCCGACCATCAAGGCTCTTTTCAACCGATGAGGGCACAAGGCAGAAAAACATGCACTAAATATAGATTCATGGATATTCATAAGTGTAGTGGTAGGAATAATTTCTCGCAAAACAGATGGCACATTCTACCGACTGCCAAATGCACAAGTGTGAAACATAAAGATTGGCTTTATTCAGGAGAAGAAATTACATTTCTATTATTGGCCATTTTGTAACTGCATTGTTGCACCAATAGCGTGGCCATGGACTAAAACCTCTATTTACCGTGGTGTTGCTTTAATCTGAATTGTATGATGAATGGAATGATGTGTGGTCAACAACTGGGAAAGAGTTTTAAATCTAGTCACCACCGTAGACCTTGTCCACCAACTCCATGTGCCATGACAGAGAAATCTCAGTATTTTCCTAGAAAATTTGAACATTTCTTTCTTCTCGTAACGTGTTTCTTCATCAGATTTACTCTTGGTAATTTCTAAGTCATATTAAGGAATATACATGTAAGTGGTGGCTGGATGTGAACCTCTTTCTAACAACTCACCACTCAGCTACATGTACATGTATTATCATCATTGATCCAGGCACTGTATGTGACAAAACAACCAGCTTTGGCCAGTACTTACAAACTGCAGCTGTTTCATTGCATCTGCCATTACTTGGAGGTTTTTTGTGCAGGGAAACATCGGCAGAGGCTTTGCTCAGACACACACAGCTGCAGGCAGTTTTGCTTCTTTCCTGGTCGCTGGTGGTTCTTGTTCTCCAGTTTACCACTGCATGCAAATGTGAGAGGGTTTTGAAAAGCACTGCGGAGCCAGGGCTACATCACACAGGACATGAATAGACACCTTTTGCTTTTGCTGTCAGTGAAGTTTAAGTGATGAAGGCTACCTTGGTGGTTGCGTGCGATGCAAAAGTCTCTTTGTCCAGAGAACTTGTCAGCACTTGCACTTTATAGTTTTGATTTTCTTTTTTCTTCTTTTATCTTTTTTTTTGGGTCCTCCTGAAATAGGTTTTCCGGCGATGGTGTTCTGGTGTGTTCCATCGATAACATGCCAGCCCAGTTACCTAGAGAGGCAACTGACTTTTTTGGCAACCTCTTGCAACCATGGGTACCCGAAATGGTAAGTTTTCAAAATGCGTGCATGCCTCATTGCACACTTGTAAATATGCACACAGTCCAGGTGATCCACCTTCCAAATAATCAAGCTGTTATTTCCGTTTTACAAAAATACTCATGCTGTACATTTACATCTCCTTCTCTGGTTGATGTGGGTTGTACTTCACATTCTTAAGACCTGCCATTTTTTATTATTATTTATTGTAATTTTTTGTTATGAACTATGAAGTATTTCTGGTAATGAAACCAAAGATTCCTCAAAAGTGCCCTTGGCACTGTAGCTCGCAAGCCTGAAGAAACCTGTAGAGAGGAGACGATGAGAAGCAGTAGATGTTTTATGATGTAGGAGGAAAACCCCAGAGGAATATTCTGGGTAAAACCCATGGAAACAGGTCCTGGATAAGGACTGAAACCCCAGTCCACATGTGGACAGAGCCAGAAATTGAGCCCGGGGCCGCAGAGGTGAAAGGCGAGGAAAGAACCACTATGCCAACATGACTCCCCTAATCATTCCCTTGATTCATTTATTTACACGTAGTTCACAAGCCATGTAAGGGCCAAATGGGGAGCATGTTAAGATGCATTTGAGGTGACTTATAAATGTAGGAGTTGACTCACTTCTAGTAATAGGCACTTTGCTACAGCATGTCTACCAAAATCAGAAACCTGTAGAAAGCTCTGGAAACCTGCTAATGCTCGGCACTAGTGCTGCAAGTAGGTGCCAAGTTTCGGTTCACATACGGTTCGGAAATATTTTGCCGAACTTCGGTTCAGTTGAGGTTCTGACACATACACATAATGCACATTGAGACATCGAAGAGCACACTATGAACGAACGTGCCGTATATGTAGTGCTTCCGTTTGTAAAGTACATTCATACAAGCAATGAATCTCCATCCCTATCCACGAGCAACTTCAATGTGAATATATTTTTTTCTAAACTGTTCCCCTAAAGTTTGTTCAGGAGTTAAAATTCCATAGAAAGTTACAGTTGGAAGTGTGACAGTTTCCGACTGTTTTGCTGACCAAAAGCGATCGTGTTTGGACCATGCTTGACTCAACAAAACGATCGGAGGATATGTGAAAACAGAAAAAAAGCATGCCCAAATGGGACTTTCCTCCTTTACCGGATACAAGATCAAATTAGACTTCAAGCAAATTGTGTTTGGGTTATTTTTCACGAAACAGATTCAACTGCCAAACCATGGCTTTTGATGTGTTCAAAGAAGAATCTTGGTATCAAGTCAGCATTCTTTCCCAGGATGGTGCCCACGTGGCCAAAGGGGTGATTTTCAATCAGTCTTTTTCAAACGGATAAAAGCATTTTCTTATTTGCGAACAACTATCTGGCAAAATTCCGTTACAACATATTCACATTACGACTCTGATCAAACATAATCAACAAAAGGCAAGTAAGGCCACCGCCCGAACCAAATCTGTTCACCCGCTGGAGCGCTGCACTGGCACGGCCCACCTGGTAAAATCAGTTTTCCTTCTGGAGTTGCCTTTGATCGAGCACAAGTCTGACTGTGATCAGTATCCAATCAAATTTCGTATACACGCACATGTGCCGAGTGCCAGTGCAGGACAACTCGTTATCCATTTTTTGTTGAGTTTGCTATTTTACCACGTTTTCTTACGTGAAGACCCCTGCGCTATCAATGTCATGCCATATTAAAGCCGAACATCTGAACCGACCAAATTGGTTCTGATCGGTTCAGTTTGAAAGTGCAATGTTTCGACAATTTTAGTTCAGTTCGCAGTTCAGCTGCAGCACTGCTTGGCACACAATTGCATGGGTCACCAAGCAATTTGTCCTGTGCACTGCTTTTGACTGGATCTCCATCAGTTTTGATAAAAACAACATATTTTGTTGCTGAGCTACTCAGTGAAGTCAGTCCCTGACTTGGTTATGTCATACCTCAAACATACAGTGTATTCCACGATTGAACCTTGACTGGTCCAGTCACCATCACATTGCCCGTTGCTTTTTCCGTTGTTTACAAGGCATGCATGAAAGACTGCATGCAGGAGTCAAGCACACACAGCATTCTGGACTGTTACCCACGTGAAGCTTGCTTGTAGGAGCATCGCCCTAACTTCTGTATGAGCCTACCCTACATGGATTACATGTCATGAACAGATGGCAGTACATGTGCATGCTGCCTTTCCCTTGCTCCTGAAATTTCAATGGCAGCTGAATATGTGTGAGGTGTGGTAAATGAATTACATGTACAATAACATGGCTACTTTTGGTTGGATTGTCCATTTTTACATGTAGCTCCTGTTTGTATTGAAGAAAATAAAAACCCAGTTTGTCAGCTTCCGATACCTCAACAAGCTGAAAGAAGCCAGCTGGTCTCAAACCATTCGTATTATTTTACGCAGTTAGTTTTGTGCCATTTGTCCACAACAGCTAAAATCAGACGCCAAGAAGCCATTTGAAGAGGAGAAGCTTTCCCGAGTCATTACAGATGTGAGTATGCATCATCCTTGTTTGTATTGCATTCATTGTGAGGACTTGGCTCAGCGGAGACACTTGCCCAAGTACAATACTTACACAGCGTCACCTGTGCCAGTGAACATGGTGAACAGTTACTTACCGTTAAGCTGTGGCGCGGGATAAAATGTTTCAACACCCGAGGCACTTATCACAGTACCCTTGGCTTCCCCTCACGTGCTGTGCCTTACCCCTTGGTGTTAAAACATCATAGCCCATATCACAGCAGTTAATAATTGTCTTTACACCTGTGTGTTAAATATTTTGCAGTATCACTTAACAGTCTCAAAGTTAAATGAGATTTGAAGCTTTTCGTGATGGAGGTAGCAAGTAAACTAGATAGGTTTGCGGTAACACCATGGATATGTCTTGCTCAAAAAAGAGATATATCCATGGTGCTACCACAAACCTATCAGGGCCCTTTTCCAGTACTTGACTTCGGCTCCATCTCAGGCTTCAACTGCTTTTTTTTACTACCTGACTTTGAGGTTATAAGCGCAACAATAAGTCTGATAGTGCCACAAAACATCAAGTACGATGCAAAAGAGCCAAACATTACAGTACTTCAATTTAATTTAAACACTTCAGGGCCACAATCGGGGATTGGTTTGGAAACGAAGCCTGAGACAGAGACGAAGTTGAGTATTGGAAAACGGACCTAGTCTCAAAGTTAATTGAAACAAGTGTTCCGGTCCATTGTTGCACAGAAAGTTGTATGACTAGTGTGGACTAGGTGCAGTGTCCTATCATTTGTGTTGGTCACACGTGTCTTGCTCAAAAGCAGTATCATTACATCTTAAAAGCCAATATCGGAGGAAAATCTGTATGTCTCTTTGAGCACAGGAGACGTCATGTTGAGGAACTGTTACACAGAGACAAACTTCAGTTGTCACTGCTCTCACTAGACTTAACTGTTGACAGCTGTATGGTGAAAGTGGCAGAGGTACCAAGGAAAAATAGGGTTAGCAGTCCCTATATTTTAGTTTTGACGGTAGGATGGGGACTAGCTTTTGATTTCATGATGGACAAAACTGATGTGTGATTTCCAACAGCGAGGGTGACATGCATTTTTGTCTTCCTGTCGTGCGTGTTCTGGACCAATCAAAACACAGTATTCAATGTTGTAGTTGAGACCATCACAAGACCAGAAACAAGCCCATGCATAAGACCATGCACAAGATCAGTCACAAGTAACAGGGTGAACAATGACAAAGGAATGTTTTTGTTGCAGTTCATTTGAATACCTTGTGACTTGAATTCAGACTGGAGGTCTTGTGCTGGTCTTGTGAAGGTCTTAAGTGGTCTCGGCTAAAGCACTGACAGTATTCAAGGCAGATATTGCATGACAGTAGAAAGCCACTCAGAATATTCCCAGTTCATGTTTGAAAAAATTCCACAGAATTCGTAGCGTCGCCTGTGTACTTTTCATAAACTGGTGCATGGAGAAGCAAGCATGCAGTGATGTTGCTAGGCAACAAAGCTGCCTCTTTTGTTAACACACTGAGCCCATTCTCTAACATCTGAATAAATAATTAAGAAAAAGTAAATAAAAGTGATGAGGCGATTAAGTTAAATATCTCTGAATATTAAATATCGCAATGACTGGGGAAGACGTGGAATCACCAACCTGCAGAACTCATCCCAGTCAATGATAAGACGGCTCAGTTACCCACAGCGCTGGATTGCTCATGTGGTAGAGCACTGGTGCTGTGTTCCTGAGGTCGCAGGTTCAAATCTTGTTTGGATTGATTTCTTTGTTTATACGAAACTTTTTGGTTGAGCAGTTACCATTATGGATGCTGCATGGAAAGGGAGATAAATGTGCAGTGGAATAATAAAACTTGATCTCATTGTTGCAGGCCATTATAGCATCCAATGGGAAACTTACTCCAAAATTTGAATACATCCAACAGCTGCGAGAAGTTACCATGCCGTGAGTAGAACCAAGAGTTGTGTGTCATTTTTATTTCAAAAGATGAAAACTGCAAGTGATTTGTGGGAATCTGTTTTATTCACAGCTCATTGCAAACGATGCGAGATTGAAAAATTATTTTTAAAAAATCTTTTATTTGATAATTACTTAGAGCCTACATTCCTTCCCTATAAAACCTTATAGAACAAGAAGATTGAGAGAAACCCAATAATTGCTTGTTCTTGCATCATCAGAATGAAGGATCATTTTGAAGCTGTGATTACCTACAACATGTGCAAACAGCATGTTGTCCCCTCCGTTCAGTATAGGGAGCTTGAAAAAAACAAATGAAAGGAAGTGGGTGCAAAGGTTGGGCTGTGTTAGCAGACACACGTACCGGTATGTGTGTGTCTTAGACTTTTGGAGGTTAATGTGATATCTATTCTCTTGCATCTCTTTCTCTAATAGGAAAGAGGAGTCACCTCATGTGTAAGTGCAGCTCCTACCACACAGTTCATGTACCGGTAAACCTATCAGCAATTGAAACATAAATTTGGTCTTCTCTGAAACGCACTCACACACAGTCTCCACACTCATGGCCACATTTCAAGACAGTCTCATGTACATGTAGGGAGGTTATCAAAGGACAGTTCAGTCATTTAAACAACTTCCGTCCTCATATGCATATGTGTCTGTAAAGCAAGAGTATGCAATGGTTAGTGGCAGCACATCTGAGTACAATTGGGCATCATGGTGTTGAATACAGGTGGTAATTTGACATCACCGTGCCCATTCATTACAAACTTTCCTCACACTTTTAGACACAACAGTACACATTAATTTTGCATTGTCGTGAACATGTATGTCTTGTATATTGGTCTTCCAAGGATTTTTCATACAAAGTGTTGTTCCTGGTGGGATAAATGTACCGGTACATGTACACGTACATGTAGGTCTGGTTACCCCTAGTGTCAGCCCTTTGTGCTGAAATGTCAGGAACAGAAATGTAAACAAATATACTGAAGCAGGAGCCAGTCTCTTGAAAACCTTTGGGGGCATTTACAAACTTTTTCTCCACAGATTTCCACGTGCATGCAAATTGTGGCTGTGAAATAAGAGGAAGGATAAATGGTTATGTCAGACAGCTGTTTTAATTTCCTTTGTTTAATAAGCAGAGAATTTTTTGTGTACATCCATGTGAATGGCCAATTTCCAGTTGTCTTTTCCCCAAATTTCCATCCGTTGTGTGAGACTGAGTTGCACACTTGCCAGATCGCTTCATGCATGACACACTCAGCTCCAGTTTGCTAGTTCTCATTCCCATATTTACCATCGGACTGTGAAAAATCACTGTACATGTATTTTGTTAATTTTTATGGACTCAAATATCTCATTGAACAGTCCATCCATTGTCACTTTGTGAAGTTAATTGCTTTTGCTCGTTTTTATAGTCTGATGTGTTAATGTTTTCTGTGGCAGTGTTTCTCGGGCAATGGCAAAGTGCATGTCTGGTTGCCTTTTATCTGTAGCCACTTTTCCAAAAATGCTCTGACTTTCTGTTTAAATGTTATGTGTTAATAGAAAAGGAGGTTAAAAAGCCCTGTACGTGTGTACTTGTGTGTTGTCTAAGTTCAAACATCCTTTTTAAATGAATGCCTTGCCCTGTGTGTTAATGTCTCATTTTACCCTTTCTCAAGTGTGACATGTACATGTACAACATGCATCTAGTAATAAAAATGATTTGCATGGGTCCTTTGAACAACTGGTTATTAAATCACACAATGCAGGTCACTGACTTTATCTCATGAGACTCGATCACTCTAAACCCACAGAAACAATAAAACTCTCCCTGTAGTATAGGTCAGGTTTTGTTATGCTTGGTTCCTTTGAGTCACAACGGTAAAGGTCCTTGCATTTTTAATGAGAAATCTGCATTTAAACACTTCTGTTGTCAAGCACTGACTTTCGCTAGGATCTGAAAGTACACGCTTGCTTGGGAAAAACCAGGCACCACGTGTGCACTTGTTGGGACTGCTCTCCACAGATGCATTCTTCTAAAGTTTGCACTCTTTATGCTTAACAGGGCAGTGAAACTGCGACTTGCTTAGAAGTTGTCAAGTATACATACTGCCCCTCAGTTGCGAGAGCTGATGAGGGAAGAGGTCTTTATTAAGCTTAGCATTCATTTTGAATCCCCCAACGTGGTGACCAGCAAAATCACCATCGCATTGGTTCATAATACCCTGTTCTTGACTCTGCTCCCTCAATTAATTAATTCTTTTCTATGTGCGTGCTAATTAATATTCATAAATACCTCAGACAGTCTCCCTATTCAACAACGTGCAACTTGACCATGTATTAACATTTCATAATGCCCGCTGAGAAGTGATAATGCCCGCTGTGTAAATCACGCTCTGGCACCTGGATACAAGACAGTTTAATTGATTCTAATTGGTCTAGAGTGTGTGTAAACGTGGCTTGATTGCAGCGTGCACACCCATTGGACAATTTGCAAAAGGAATATTCCATAAAATGGATGGGGGTGTCCGGGAAAATGAAAGTAAAATTCTAGAACAAAATTGCTGGAATTCCATCATATATTGACTTCTTTTGACTATGAATGGGAATAAATATGTGCTTGGCGGGTCTTAAGGTAACATTAAAGACCAGCTCTGGACACTGAATGCCGATAATGCCTGAGCTGCAGCCATGTCCATTCTCCTGAGCCAGTCTTAAACGCATGTTTAAAACCAGCTAAGCACAACTTTATTCCCGTATAATAATTCAAGAGATTTGAAATTCACACTTTGAATTTTTCTACAAGTTGGGGTACAGAGTATCTGTTGGTATTGGGCTGTCACCAAAGACAAAGGTACATATACGCATTCCAGACTTGCTTACTTTCATGCTTTACTGTCTTCATACCTACGGATTGATTTTTAGGTACCAGTTGTCAGACTTCATGGTCATGTTCTCAAAACAACATTTAAACAGTGAGAGGATGATATACAACGTACATGTATGTGTTTGTTACTGTCAACAGCTTTGTTTCCTACTGAAGGAACCATTCAATACTTTTACAAGTCGCTTCGATTACAGTGGTGTACACGGCATTGTTTTCTTATGGTACATTTGTATGTAAAGATTATGCAGTGCATAACCCATCATTTCAATTTTACTAAAGTATATTTCACACGTGTACGTCTTCGATACGCAGTCAAATATAAATGGGCTCATTTCAGTCCAATTACTTTTTTTTTTCAAAATGTCAGTTACATGTCACGCTCATTGGTCATGTCATCTGTTAAACTTAAGCATCGGATTTACACATGATACGTGTATGTGTAAACTTATGTACATTTGTTTCTGTGCTCAAAACACCACAACTTTAATCATGTGCAAAAGTATAAAGCAAATCATACCAAATTTTGTGTTCAAAATTCTAAAAACAATTTCAACTTTGAATTCTTTGTTTGAAGTATAAGTGCTTTGTACATGATTCAGGGAAGTATTTATGTTGTTAATGGCACAGTACACAGCTCAGAGTGGGAAAAATAAAAGGGTATAAAGACACCGAACCACTGAACAGATAGAGGTTTTGTGTAAGGATTGTCCACCACCAAATAATACAAAGACATGATGTTTGAACTGGGAGGTTCATTTTTGAATGCACATGTGTGAGTAGAGTATACATTTGGATAACAATTCATCACACAGAGGGCTCACTGAAGCCAATTACGACAGGAGAGAAATTGAGGAATGTCTCAAAATGTGGGAAAAATTTCCATTCTCATCAGAATGTCCCTTCATGGAAAACTGTGGTAACACGTATCAGGCAGGAATTAGCTGCATCTCCAGTAGGAACAGGCCATCCCCAAGTCAGCTTGCGCGTACACAATAGACCAGTGTTCCCTATGGGGAATATGCATTTTTCGAAGAAGGAACGGTGGCCGTTCCTGATTGGAACCAACAGAGTTTTCCGTGGAGCGTTCTTCGGTGTTAATGGCTTTTAGGACGTGATCCCTGATCACTACATGGACCTGCACATACAAAACATTTCATTCACAAGTAAATAATACATGTACTGCATTCTTGTCGACAGCGTTTCTGTTCTTTCCTTTTCTTGCAACAGAGTGGTCCCGTCCTCATTCGGTGCAGAAAAACAGAGGGTTTTGCTGATGGGTTCTGGCCACATGGCTGAGCCCATTGTAGAATACCTGACAAGGAATGGCGGAGTTGCAGTTACGATAGGTACGTAATACAATGGTATGGTTGCTTTCGGCACGTCGTCAAAACCAGAGTGGTTACCTACTTTTCCACTTCTAGGTTTCCTGCCAGGTATGAAGATATTTGATGGAAATAATGCTGCCCACTACAAACACTGGACATCAAATACTATCTAAAGTTTTCAACAATCAGAGTTTGTACGAGTTAAGGTATTCGGAAAGTACACACTGAGTACTTCTGAGTTAGAGTGCGTCTGTCACAAAAGTTTGATTAAAATATTTTCAAATATCTAAAGTCACCACTAACTTTTTTCTCTGACATTAACTTTATTTGCTATGCACTAGCAATGCTTCGGTCACTTTGATTCGGTTCAGTGCGTAGTAGTGAACAAAGTACATGTACCTAAGTACCTGGCAAGTACTCAACTGGAAGCAGGGCAAGGGGTTTTCTGATCGAAATCGGTTGACTGAGGAATCAGATCTGTAACCATCACATTATGTGTTCCAGAGACACTCAACTACCCAGCTGCCCGGCTATGTACATGTACGTACTCATGCTTTAGTTTTCAGCATGTGTACACCTGTTTAAACATGATACAAACAATAGAAAAGACTATTGTGTTTTTCACAGCCAAGTACATGTATTTTAAAACTCATTTTAAGTCAATACTTAAATGTGAAGTTACATGTCCATTATGTACGGGGTACACGTTCTGCTGTTGACTCCTCATTTGCCAACACATGACTTATGAACCACACTGCGTCACTGTTAATGTGTCAGGATGTCAACAATTTGTACGGCACTGATATTGTCTTCTTGTTTGTTTACAGCATCTGCTGACAAGCCTGAGGCAGACGCTCTGGCCGCCAAGTACGACGGCACCAACTCGCTCTACCTGAATGTTGCCAGGCACACAGACCAGACAGAAAAGGCCGTTCAGGAGCATGATATTGTTATCAGGTGAAATAGGCCAGTCCCTTCAAGTTTAGTCTGGGTGCTAGTCGGGAGATGTTGTATATGGAACTGCCCTAAGAATGAAGATTTATGCCAAGAAAGTCTTACCAAGGAATGACTCTGGAACAAACTCTAACAGGGTGTCGGCTAGATTTTAAGGGTTATGTGCTCAGGGCAGGCTCACAGGATGCCAAGTACTTTTTTTTCTACTTCCATTAATTGAACATTATGCTGTTTTTGTGGACGTTGTGTGGTATTCTAATCAACAAAGCTACAGAACACCCCATTTAATATAGTTGAACAATTATTTTCACATAGATCAGACAATCTGGTGTCAGAATAAAAAAAACTGTTCTTGATTGATTGAGATGGGAAAGAATCTGGCTCGTTGCTGCAGTACATACCCAGGGCTTTGGTAACACATAAAGTGCCGAGTGGAAGGCAGTACACTAATTGTGTCTGCTAAGTCACATGACCTGTAGTGGATATCAAACATCAGTGAACATAGTGTCTTCCCATAGCAAAGTGTCATCATGAAGCGTCATTATAAAGCTAACAGTCGGTAATGTAGTCAGACTACTGATGCGCTGAACACTCTACTGGAATTGGCTTTCTTGTTTAGTTGGCCACACTTTTGACACACTGTGCTGTGGAAGGATGCTGTATTTGTTGATGTTTGATACCCACCATAGGTCATGTGACTTTGCTGGCAGAATTGGTCTGTTAAAATCAGTTCCACAGCTAATAACATGATTGTTCTATTCCAAGTGAGATTACACTAACATTGTACATTTGGCTTTTTGGTTGTGTTTTTGCATCATGTACATATAGTATGCTGCCATACAAGCTCCACCCCCAAGTGGCCGAGAAGTGTGTGGCCTACAAGAAGAACATGGTGACTGCCAGCTATGCCAGCCCTGAGATGAGAGCCCTTCAGCAGGGGTAAGTTTGGGTACCAGATTGGCATGCTGATTTTTTTTTATGTTAGACATTTTCTCGGTGAAACAAGTTTCTACTATAGAGCTATTTTAAAGACTGTTGTCAACAAGTACCCATATATTTGCAACCAATGAAAACCTGCCTTTGGATATGACCTTCCATGGACATTTTTCAAACTTTCCTAACCTTGATTTGGCTATTGCTGTAAATTCTTGCTTCCGCTTGCATTTTATATCAGTGTAGTATCTTTATGGAGCAACATGTTTGTGACCTTGTGGGTTGGAAAGATGTTTTTTCTGCTTCTTCAGGAGGTTTTTGTCCTGTGTGTTTTATTTTGAAACAAAAACTTACATTTCTCGACATTTTTATTATTATGATGGGGTTTTATTAAAATCATCAAAACAGCCAAAAAGGCTGAATTGCACATGATTTTTACAAGATACATTGCGAGACAGGAAAAATATAAATTAATATAATGTAAATAAACCGGATATATTTATAAAGACATATACTGTACAATTATAAAACAAATTATTAAAACGATGAACCAGCAAGTCTGCCCCCCTCCCCGCACATGAATTTTTACTCAATTGTAAATAAAAATTTGAATGGTCACATTGAGCTTAGTCCTATAAGTGCCAGGTTATTTTGGCCCTCACAGCCAGGGTGGCAGATTCCATCCCCCAGGACTCAACTTGGCATGGATTTAGAGACAATCCTTACCATCACAAACGTGAAGTTTGATTTCAATTAGACATGTAGTTTTGTTGTTGCATTTATTTGAAGTTCAAGGCTACGTACGTGCCAGCACGTGTGTATTGAGCAACACAGTGGAAAAAGTATACAACTGTGGCCGAACCGTCTCAGAAAAGTGCATGCTACTGGTACATAAGAACGATATGTCCAAATTTTGTAAAATTGGTGTCAAAATGACTTAAAGAGTTACTCTAAATTCTTGAGGGGTCGACTCCTGAAAAAAAAAAATGCACCAAGGCAATATCAGGAAAAATGGTGGGGGGTGGGTGGTGATTTCCCCCTCCAGCTCTTTTAATGTTGAGTGACAAATATCTGTTTCCACCTCCAGTGCATTGGATGCTGGTGTCACATTACTCAACGAGATTGGCTTAGACCCCGGCATTGACCACATGCTAGCCATGGAATGCTTCCACAATGCCAAAGCAGAAGGTGGCAAGGTAAGACATGTCGATGGTTGCCTTTACTGGAGTGAACTAGAGGAAACGCATGCACGTAATTGAATTCTCAAAGCCGCGTCCACCAACCTGTGAAATTGGCCTGGTGCAGTTTACCTCTGTCCGTATTTTGTCATACATGTCTGGCCAAAATTGCTGAAGTTATGCAACAGTTAGTCCACACAGGGCACTGTGCCACTGACCATTAACTCTTGTCACGAGTACCAGCCAGAATATCATGTACAGGTAGGGTGTATTGTTTGTGACTGCCTCCCTTCATAAGTTTTGCACTGTTGAATGCATCACTTTTTAGACGCAAGCAGTATCTGGTATCAGCACATTCAGCACTGATTATTGTTGACCCGTGAATTGCTCCATTTGTAGGTCCGGTTCTTTGATTCATGGTGTGGTGGCCTACCTGCTCCTGAACATTCTGAGAATCCACTGCGTTATAAATTCAAGTGAGTATTTGGAGGAGCGGCCTCATTCACTGTTATTTACCAGACTGGCATTTTGTACATGTGGGGCTCTATGTAAGTGTTGGGCATTTCGTTTGTCTAGCAATTTTTGTTCATTGAATCTATTAGCGAATTAAGAGATTGCTATTTTTCTTGAAGATTGTTCAGCTTATGCCACTCAATGAATTGAGGTTGCCACTCAAGCTGGATTTGTTTTGGGTGAACCATTTGCTTAGCTGCATCAGTTGGAAGAGCTTCAATCTGGCATTCTGCTGGCAGTATGTGCCAATGTTCAGATCTTGCCCGATGGCCACTTTCTTTGATAACCCTAAAATGGGCCCTCTGTGGAAAATGAGCCTGATACCACACATGTGACCGACAACTTTTCTTCCAGTAAACATAGACCAAAAGAGTACATTTGGGAAAAAAATAATAACAATTACATAGGATGTTCCCTGCAGTCATACTTTGAATGTGTTGACCGGTGTAATAGCCAAGACTGCAAGACCAACACGTGACCTGCAGTCTGAATCCAAGCCACAAAATAAACTGCAGAAAAGCATTCCTTTGTTATCATTCACCCTGACACTTGTGGCTGGTTGTGTGTAACTTTCCCTTGGAATGACCCGACGCTTGGTCTTGGGATGGTGGCTATCATGAATCACTTGGGAATAATAAAAGTATTTAGGGAAAGTCGATTGTTGGGCTGGTTTTCCGGAGAATGCTCTGCCAACTGTGCAGGGGAGGGCTCAGAGGACATTCACCCCACCTTTTTCCACTTGCAGTTGGAGTGCTACTGCCTCAGTGGGGGCCATCATGAGAGACGCCAAGTACCTGCAGAACGGAGAGGAGGTATTCATCCCTCCTGGCATGCTGATGCACGAGAGCAACGTCCAGGAGATCAACTTTTTGCCGGGCTTCCACCTGGAGGGCTACTTCAACCGCGACTCCACCAACTATGTCTTTGCCTACGGCATCCCCACGGCGCACACCGTCAGGCGGGGAACGCTCCGATACAAGGTAATCCTGACTCCTGATGCCCTTTCTTCTGAAATATAACCTGCAAAGTCCTGCAAATTCTTCCGCATGAAAAGTAGATATATGCTCAATGCTCCATGACCAGACCTTCAGCAAATCTATGGGGTACATGGAGACGTACATGTTCTTGTACACAAAGTCCATAACTAACCAGATTTCTTGATTATTTTTCCACCCTTTTATACTCTCTCCACATCCACCTTGCGCACAAGCCGATTCAGTAGTATACAGAGCATAATGTAAGGTGCTTTTCTTCCCTCCATCGGTTTATCCCCTTATCTCTTTTGTCAGTTTCCAAAACTCCACGAGCCGATCTCTTGCCAAAGGAATTGTGTTATTTTATATCACTGTTGTAAATATGCTTGGTTGAACTTTACATAAATAAATTTTGAGGGCATTGTACAAAGGAAATCTTGTAGTCTTGTAGTCGAGAAAGTGTCACTATCACTCTTAAACCTCGTCTAAATAATTCATTAGAGTCCTTGTTTGCAAACTGGCTATTAACCTACATGCAGAGGTTGAAATATTTTGGAGGTTGTCATGGAATAGTTCTCATTTGAAGCATCGGATAGTCTTTCTTGGACCCAACATTGGACCCCACAGATTTGTTTTTCAACATTATCAGGGTCTGAGAAAGAATCGTGGCTAGAATCAATTTCCACATGAACATTGTGGTTTGGATTTCAAGTGCTGTTGCCCACGCCGCATGCAAGGGATCTTGTGTCCTTTCAAAGAATGAAACCCTTTTTTTTTTTTCCAATTTATCTCAGGGTTTCTGCAAAACAGTAACCAGCTTCCCCAAGCTTGGGCTTGTAGATGACAAGCTACACCCGGCCTTGGTTGATGGTGCGCCAGACATCACTTGGGTAAGATTCCAGTTTTCTGAGTACCTCACCAACATCAGAAGTCCCCTTGCTGACCTGCCTCCCTGAAGCTAACTCCTACTCGGTAATTTCTCGGCACTGAACGTCGTTGTGCCACGTACACACATCAGTACCTCAAACAAATGTGGGTTTGCGTGCTCTCAACCCCAATAAAAAATACAATGACCACTGGCATTAGGACAGTTTTAACCATTTGGAAGACAAGTAGGTACGGTATTCTGCCTCAAAAGCAAGTGTGTGGTATCAGTCACGACTGTAGAGTAACTCAAACTCTCAATATCTACCTTGAGCCCCCTGTCAACTGACAAGTAGTGTCAGGTTACACAGTGATGGCTGAATGTGCTTCTTGCATGGTGAATCACGACCGTCATCTGCTTCACATTGGCACGGCATAACAAATGTCTTGATGGTAATTAATGGAGGACATGTTTTCTGTCTTCCCCTCCCCTCCAGCGTGCATTGCGTCAGTTCCAAATTGCATTCTTCAGTTGTACAATGTAAACGTCACCGTGCCTCACATTATGCCGTATGGTGGCAACAGTTGTCATAAGGCATTCCACTTTCTCTTTCCTTTCATTCATACTGCATTAATCATAAATCTGTAAATATACAGAATTCACAGTGTTGTACTTACCCTACCGTTGTTGGCAATTTTTTTCTGGAAGCATGAGCTCATGTGCAAGGTGCTGGGATGCGACACACAGACCAGCACAAGCCGTCTAGAGAGCATCATATATGACAGACTAGGACAAGATGAGGAGAGACTCAATGCAGTTCTACAGTAAGGGAGATGGTTACCACTCGTAATTTAAGTATGGGCCTAAGAATTTTAAGAAAAGACAGTGGTACCGTACTTTGGAAGCCCTTTTGCTTCAAGCAGGTTTTTTTATTTTTTAGTGTGGTTCTCTCTGCGACAGGATGATTATAAGAGTGATTTGCCAGCACACATATCTGAATTTGAATGGATTTTGAATAAATGTGACACTCAGGTGGCTTTAATTAGTGCGTTAGTGATGAGGCTTGACGCCCATAAACTCGGCAGTTGCAGCATTTGAATTTCACACACAAGTACGTTTGGTGGCGTTATATTTAAAATCCCAGAAATGAACAGAAATTAACATAAACAGTTAGTGTGGGGAGGTAATAAAATATCTACTTTGGGAACTTTCTGGCTTTTTGCTCAATTTCCAGAATAATAATCATAATTCAGGCATTTATATTGCGTTTTTACACAAAGTGGTAACACAACGCTTTACACATAAAATAAAGTAGTACAGAATGAGAAGATAATAAAATAATGGGCTATTAGGCTAAAGACGCATGGAAAAGATGAGTTTCAAGCAATGTCTTGAATTTGGCGAGGGAAGTTGTGTGATGGATTTTGTTAGGAAGGGCCAATCTTCTCCTAATTTCCAGAGAGCATCTATTTTACCTTCTAACTAGATAGGAAGGTTCTAACACTTTCCACATGTTTGTTTAAGTGTTCAGAGATAAAGAATGTTTACAGAATGAGATACAATCTCATTAGCAAACGAGTTTGGCAAAGCTGCCTGAAGGAAGTGAGGAATAGTTCAATTTTGCCCTTTCAGACACAAACAAGCACCTGTAAATGTGGTTTTGGGGGGCAATCGTGGACGTTCCTATTGTTCTCTTTTGTTCATACTTTAACTTTTTTGGAAGGCCTCTAATATGTTTTGTACACGGTTGGCAATCGTGGACATATCAGGAATCATGGACAGTCATTAATTCTTTTGTTTAACGTCCATGATTGTTTGGGAACATCACTGCACATCCTCACATATTTGGCATGGACATTCATTTCCTTTTGTGTAGTTGAGAAATGCCAGAGGAAACGCTCATTTCTCTGGACCACTACACCGTGTTATAAGGCATTCGTCTTGAGGTTTCCACTTTATTTTGTAACATATAACTGTAATGCTCAAAATGCCGCTGAAGGTGTTTCTGAGCTAGGTCTGTCTGCATACCACGCTTACACAGCCTGCAGTGGACGGGTCTAGACACTGTCCCCAGGTCTACACAAAGATATTAAAGGTTTGTACAATATGGTCAGATCATTTTGACTCTTATACTTGTCAGATTGGGATTGCTGTCGGACACAGTAGTCAACAAGCAGAACTCCCTGTTGGACACACTGTCCACATACCTCAGTCACACACTAGCCTATGGTGAGTAGTGACCTGTACCTCAGTTATGGGGCTCCGTTCTGCTGTTTATTTTATGCCGCATCACATGTGTGCAAGTTCAAATTTGACATTACCATACAGTGTATGTACAAATTTCAAAATGTCTTTTAAATCACCGGTCGCCATGCACACTCTGGCCGATGGCAAGTGATGTTTGCTGTGAACTCTATACTTGTAAGAATCCCCTTGGTGTTGACAAAGAAGGAGAGCACTGACAGACATTTAACTGTTTAAAATGCCACATATTTGTGCACATTCAGATGAAAATAGGTCTCTAGTACATGTACTTGACACTATGACTTGGGCTCAGTGTATGTATACCAGTTGTCCCCAGCAGTAGAGCTTTTAACCTGTCAGTTGTAGGTTTAAGTGTCCAAACCTTCAACAAAGCACAGTGTGGACCTGACTGATATCTTAAATCACATTTTTCTATTGATACGACAAAGGAACAATCAGTTGTGCTACACAGTCTCTTCCAAGACCTCCAGCGTGGGGCACCCATTGACTGTACTCTCCTAGGTGCATTTTATCAGAGTGTGCACAAATATATGTGGTGTCTTTACTTGGTTGCTGGGCACATAGAAGCAAAAGCATTCAAATGTCTGCACCATACGTTTATCTCTTCATTTGTAGCCATGTTTCAGGGTTGCACAGAGGGTATAATGCCTTAAAGAGTACAGTGTGAACCTTTCTTTTTTCCCATTGCTTCCAAGTTTCAAAGATTCTGAGGTTTGTTGTGTCTTGTTTTGGGTTCGTTAATTTTTAGGATTTTGTTTTTCTCCGGATGACATCCTCGCATTGTGACGATCATTTGGTTTTCCACTACTAGCTGAATAGTTGCAAGTTTTTTCTTTGAGCGCTTTGGCACAGAGAACCACAGTGCCTCATAACAGCTGAGCTAAAGTACGTCCGTCTTTTTCCCTCGCACAGAGAATGGGGAACGTGATCTGGTTATCATGAAGCACCGCATCGGTGTAGAGTGGCCTAACAAAATAACCAGCACCGAGGAGATCAGCCTGACCGTCTACGGCGATGCCTACGGGTACTCTGCCATGGCCAAGATGGTTGGCTACCCAACAGCAATCGCAGCCAAAATGATCATGGATGGTGAGTAATGCAACTCTCTCTAGCTAGTCAGCAGCACTCCTTCTACCGCATCATGGCGTTGGCAGCAGGCACAAGCTTTTTAACTTGATGTGACAACATCATTAAATTCTGCACTCTTCAGCATTTTCCTTCCAGACTGCCGTTTCCTAAAACACGTAAGCTGCAATGTGCACGTACATGTACATTCAAGTGTATATTTTTTTACGGTACATGAAGACATTGCAGGGTTTGTGTACAGTCTGTTTATGGACTTCTCAAAACACTGAGTGTAAAACACTCAAGAAATTTGCAAATAACAAAATCCTAGAAATCAGAACCCCCCCCCGATGCAACATTACATCAAAAGTCATTACTGGCTGATGCTAGCACACTGGCCCTGGTAAGTATAGTCTTGAGCGGGAAGATGTCAGTTCATGTACTCAGAAAGCTGTGGTATCAAGTTGCTTACAAGTAACCTGCTCGTGTGACATTACTTCAGTTTAAACCACGCCCACTGCACATGCACTGCACATAGAGTTACCAGCATTGATTGCCGTTTACGTGGAACCATGGAACCAGAAGTTAACATTCAACTTCAGGGATCGTCCAATGGGAGCCTACAAATCGCGGCGTGTCCACATGTATGAAGAGTCCGGGTGCATGAAGAGTCCGCATGTATGAAGAGTCCGCATGTATGATGAGTCCGGGTGTATGACGAAGTCACTTACAAATGGATACTTTGGAAGCTTTGTTTGTCGTGAGCTCCTTTGGGCAATGATAGAATGGTGTTTGTGCAGTCAAATACCATATGCTTGTAATTTAAGCTACACCTACTGAATAGGAATCTGTTCTGGCCTGAGCCGCTGGCTTGTTGGGCCAGGGTTTATCCTTGACATACATGTAAAAAGGACTGAAGATATTTCTACTTCTCCCTGGATGAGATGCAAATTCATCAGCGGTTACTCCCTAGATAGTGCAGGTACCCATTATGTTCCTGGGTGGGGAGAGAGGCAAGCAGGGGTAAAGTGACTTGTCTAAGGCCACAACAGATGGCCAGCAGCTGGATTCGAATCCCCGACCCTCTTATTGTGAATTGCATGTCACTCCATGCAAATAGCATCCTGTATATTTCTGTCCTCTTTTGACAAGAAGTCTTGTTCTTACGACAGGTGAGATTCTGCAGAAAGGCGTCGTCCTCCCCTTCTCTAAGGACATCTATCACCTGATCCTGAACCGACTCAAGGCAGAGGATATCAGGGCAGCCTCACGGACTGTCCATCACTGAGGTCCCTCGTGCAATGCAGATTCCCAGAGTCAAGATAAGGGTTTAAAATAGTGAAGATTTTTCCATAAAGTAACTGAGTGAAGTGAATGAAGGACGTTTTAGGAACCAGCTTTCAAAAGACTGGAGACTCTTTATGCAATAAGGTGGATAGGTTGTACAGTTTTCCATGAAGGACCGTAAGTTTATTGCAGGGTTGGCTTAAAGTCTGAAGGCTCATTAATCAGAAGGTTTGATACTCAGCACACATGTATACCCAAGGATTCATTGAAGTAGGGTTCATCAGTCCAAACATTTGGTGTAGTGGAAGGTTCCAAGGATCCTTTAATCCATTGAACCTTGTGACTGTCAAGACGATTGGACCACCGAGTGTAACCATTTTTTATGCACTGTTAAGAGATCATGCAGCATTCAGTGACTAGTACCATTGGCAATGGAGTGCAGAATCTAGCACAGAAAATTGAAGGGCTTTGCTGGAGGGCCCTGTCTTCATGTAAGCGTTTTTATAGCTGAATGATTGATGCCGACAGCAAATGTTTGCATGCTAAACTGACTGGTTAACACACCTGAAATGAATTTGAATTGTGAAGATGTTTGAGGGTTTCAGGCCACCTTCCGACGTTCATGTGAATCGCAGTGTTCAAAACATCTGATATGGTTTATTCCCTGTGTTGTACCTGTGTCCTTTTTTGGTTCTCTGAGTGGATTGTAATATGAGGTGTTACGGCTTGGTGACTGTCATCCAAGCACCAACCTACTTTGACAGGATGCATTGGATGAATTGGAATGCAGCTGTCAGGATCGGCATATGCAAGAAATGCTCCTTGCATTTGCAAGACTCCAGTTCTAGTTTGATTTTTCTGGTTGTTTCTCAGACTGCTGTCCTGCCATTTTAAGGACAACTGTTTAAACTCTGTATTCAGCTTTCTATGTACCCATTTCCAAATTTTACTTTTTTACCACACTGGGCTTGGTTTTCACTTCGTGACATAAAATGTCAGTATGCCATTTGAACTTGGGAAATGGCCTGATTACAACATTGGTCCACTGTGTTGCAAGAAAGGCCCCCGTCAGAAAAGCTTGGCAGTGGCTTGAAATTACACTCAACTCTAGACTCCTAGAAATTTAAAGATGAGGCAGGTCACTGCAACCAAAAGGCATGAAGGTGCGTGCCGCAAAATAATAATCTTACTAGCACCTGTAGATGTGTCTGAAGAAAATGCAAATGGTGGCAGGGCAAGTTTTTGGTCATTTGAGTGGACGCAGTCGAAAATTTCAGAATTATAACCACAGATCAGTTCCACCAGTATTTAAAGAGTTCATGGTGGCCTTTTTTTCTGTAAGAGTGATGAACCCTCATCCCTTTTTACATGCTTCAAAGAAAATTTGAAAAACGTGTTTTAAACTATATTTTAATACAGTTATTTATGAACAGGTTCATAGGACCCTATCATACAAGCCTCACTTGGTTTTTTTTTTACCTGTTTAATACTAACTGAAGACATTCTGCTGCTCGAAGGCTGCAGACATGCTGGCCCTACGGGAGCACTCCCTCTGCTGTTTGCATCACTCTTGAGCTAGTGTGCGATCGCTCAAAATGACTCAAACTATGTCAGACTGATCATGCAGGGGTCAGTATGTTTGCTGCCAAGGAGCATCTCAAAAGTCTCCCATTAATATGTATTGAAATGTTGAAGTGTCGTACGGCATTTGATGGAAAGCCACTTCTTTGGACTATTTTTATCAAAGCTTTCTTATTGTTTTGGTTCATAACTTGAAACTGTACATATTTAAAGGGCCATGATGCAAATTTTACTTTTACATGTTTTGTGCAGCTTTCTGTTCCTCTTAACTTTGACATCAATTTTTCGTACATTTAACTCTCCCTGAAAAGCACAGGTTTATTACACGTTTAAACTTTTCCATGCCTTTCCTGACAATTGAGAGCACTGTGGCTGTGATGTCATCTCAGGAAGACACAGTTTATATGGGTGGATTGTGTGCAAATTGTGAATTTAAAATTTGCTTGTTGAAAATACTTGTTAGAGGACTTTGCTTTACATGCCAACTGTTGGGAACTAAATTGACAAGTCAACAAAGTAACAAAATTTGTGACAGCAAAATATCCAAACTTAGGACAACTTTTTGTTCGTACTTTTACTCATATAGAAAAATGCTATATTGCATGGGCCTTCTGTAGATATTTAAGATGGTAAATCATGGGCAGCATCATTGCTGGTTGTCAAGGAACTGGTGTGCTGGTGTACTGGCACAGTCCTGGAGTAAAAAAAATGGAAAACATACCACCCCCACCCTTGCTGTCAATATAATGCATCAGTTTTGGTTTCCTGAATATGTTAATGCTTTCTGAACGGTAGATGTTCAACACAATGTGTCTATTTATCACTTTGTGCAATTGATCCAAGCTTGTATCTTCACCTACCAGTAACATTGGTACATTGCTGTGTCGTCATTAATTGCAAATAACTATGTTTTCTTTTGTCGATCCCACTAATGCTGAGCAAATCAAATACCAGAGAAAATGGCACTGTGTTAGTATTGCAGAGGAGGCTTGCCATTTTGTTTCATCTTGCATTAAACAGGAATGCTGCTTGACTTGTGAAAGAGGCATTATTTTTGTAGCATAGAGATTATTTTTTCAGAATACCAGAAAATCATTTGAATGTGGAGTGAGTTGATATGAAGTAATTTTGGCCGTATGCAATGTCAAGATTACTCCTTCCATTTGTACTCTTAATGGGAGCCAATTTCATGATGATCACCAACGTTTGATAAGTGCAGAAAATATCAGCTCAGCAGCAATTGGCCTGGTTACCAGCCAAAACAACAGGCGATGTGTACTACACCTATCTGGTTTCCTGCTCACATTTGCTTAGCACACACGTTGACTTAATTCTTTTTACTGAAACATCTCCGTGAAGTTGGCCGCAGGCTGGTGAGTGTATAGTTTCACTGGCTGTCCCATCGGGGTGTTTAAAACACAATTCTTTTTAAAAACTGGAATCCCCAATCTGCACGTTATTAATTTTTTGAGGATTTCAAGTGAAACATGAAACAAGAAGATGGGCTGGCAATAAGTGTCAGAATGAGGTTTTCATTTTTGTAGTTCTTGACAGAGCAGTTTATCTGGAGGGCCAGTTGAAGGTTTTGTTTCAGTTCTCTCTCATTTGGGGGCATTTATCTACTTTTTCTGTATCAAAACTTCGCCTTTTTGTAACTAATTCACTCGGAGGGAGGAGCCGATCGGTTTTTTCTCGCCAAGAGATAATAAATTACATGCCTGGTAATAATGTGGCATAATCTGGATAAAAATGACACTAACCCAAGAAATGACTGGGAAATAATGTGTAGCTGGAATTAAAATCGGATCGATGGAGCTATGTCATTTAAGTTGAAATACAATTTGCTGCTCTGTTTTTTCGTTGTTTTTAAATGAAATATGTAGGTAAGTTTGCCAGTAATGTGTGAAATATTGAATTAAATGATTCTCGGTTTTAGTACCGAAACCATCAATGTGATCACGTTTGGCAGTTTTGTGTGTCCTTTTTTTTTCCATTCAAAAAATTGAATTGTTGTCGCAGATTTTGCTTCAGTTCAGAGGGTTGCAAAAAAGTGGAACTCATGATATGGCACTGCACATGTAAATTGGATGGTGCATTATCGGATATAAATAATTACATGGTTAGGCATTTCGGTATCACCTCCACCATTAAATATAAAGCAGTAAGGAGCTACTTTATTTTTGCATTTAAAATGAGCTCTTTCTCATCTGGTCGAATGTCTGCAACCCCTGACCCTGCACTCCCTTTCGCTCGGTGGTCGAGTGGTAAGGATGTCTGCACTAGCAAGCAAGAGGTTCTCACCGCGGCAAGGGTTCGAATCACACCCAAGTGAACTTGTGAGTTTTTCGCAAGCTCTCGGACACACACTGATACACGTTGGTGTAAGGGCAAAACCTGTTATTAACATCAGCCACGCAGGCTCAACGTTCGTTTTTGATAAAATTAAGGGCGCTTGCTGTTAAGTTTCTAAAAGGATAAAATGCCAATAGAATTAGTCGGTATTGCCTATTTAAACAGCAATGCAAATACAACCATGGGCTTGTCGAAAAGAAATTTCCATTGTCTGATTTCGCCAGAGAGTCACCAACGCCCTATTTTTGATAACCACCCCCCCAAAAAAAAACCTGAACAAAACACAACACATTTCCGTGTATAGCTGCGGCACTTTTCGTCAGCCAATATGGGCGGGCGTCAGTCACTTTTCAGGGAGGGGGAGGGTGTTATAAAGCGACTGAGAAGTAGCAGGAAACCCTGATGGCGTGGGGTCAGGGGTAAAGGGCCCCAGAACATTTTGGATTCGATGATGCTCCGTGATGGTGTTCGATCTGAGGCAATTTCTGACCACTTTCACCATTTTCAATGGAAATACTTTTGCTTTTCAACTAGTTGTCAATTATGATGCACACAAATATTCTAAAGTAAACAGTGCTATAAGGGAAGAGTTCAAAGAGTTTTATCTTCCCGTCTCCTGACTTTAAGGTACACCTTATGCAGTACCGGTAAGCACTCTATGGTGGAAGTGTATCAACATCTAAACACGTTTTCCTGAAATTTGGCAGTCATAAAACTGGTAGGCCTAATCTGAAATATGAATCAAACGTGGGCCTGTTCCCCTACATTTTTATGTAGGTCCGGAAAAAGTGCGCATATGGGGGTAGGACACATTGTAGATATTCCCCCTCGCCTCCCCCAAGGTTGGTGGGTCCATTATTCCTGCACGGTGGGATGTGTCCCCCCCCGTCCCCCGATTGACGCATGCGTCGGCCAAACAGTATTAGTGAAGTATGGGGCGGGGTAGGTTCCCGTTGTTAAATGGATTTGTATATCGGTTTATAGCAAAATATGCATTCCTCCTCAGAGGCCCTTTTTTTCTTTTTCTTTTTTTGGCTAAATTTTTTGAGACCCTTTCCCTTCAACAACATGAATATTTAACTACAATGTAATTCAAACCTTAAGAGTCAAAACACGAAGCTTCATACATACAAGATACATACTACACGAACCTTTCTCATTTATCACACCAACATAAGAAGCATCCAGAGGATAATTGATTTCCTTTAGTACTCTTTTCAAGAAATTGATTACACCTTTCAAATTATTGGACTCACAGAAACCTGGCTGCGAGACGAACCCGACTCATGCCAAGCATCCCCGGTTAATGTTGAATATAAGAATAGACATGCTAAAAAAGGAGGTGCAATTTTGCTTTATGGAAACAGTTCTTTGATCTACAAAATAAGAAGTGATATCACTCAACCTTCTGATCATTTCGAATCCGGACGGTCTTTGTTGAAATTTAAAATAAATTTAATAGAAACATAAGATTGGGGCTTATTTATACCGACCACAAGGAACAAGGATGTCGGCGAGCTTTACCGAGGATCTCGAAAAAGCCATTGACAAAATTGCCTCGGAAAACAAAGTTTGCTACCTTTTCGGTGACTTCAATATCAATTTGCTACATTATGAAAGTCATAATGCTACCAATGAATTTCTTAACATGATGTATTCCTACTTGTTTCGTCCAACAATTAATAAACCGACAAGAATTGCATATAATACATCGACGTTTATTGATAACGTCTTTACCAACAACTTCGAAGACATCCAACAGGAATCATGTTTACTGGATTAAGCGATCATTGCCCTATTGAACTCTTTGGACCATCTCTGTTGAAGTATAATCATTCCACAACTGTCCACTGGAAAAAATACATCAAACAGAAATATTCTGACCTTTAGAAATGAATTAGAAAGAGTTGATTGGGACTCTACGCTTTGTGAAAACGACACTCAGGAAAATTATTCAAAATTTCTTTCCAAATACAAACACTTTGTGTCCCTTAAAACGAGTAGACTACTAGAGAGGGTCCTTAAAACCCATGGACGACTCTGAGGTTACTGAACGCAATTAAAGTAAAAGATAAATTATATAAAAGATACGTACAAAATCCAACGGAAGTTAATAAATGTAAGTATGATAAATATCGAAATAAATTGACTAAATTTATCCGACTAGCTAAATCCAACTTTTATGCTTGTTTACTGGAGAAAGAAAGGTCAAGTATAGGTAATACCTGGAAAGTAATTAATCGACTATTTAGTAAGGACGCTGGTAAAAAAAAAAAACTAACCAAGACTCCTTTTGTGATGGAAACACCACTGCCAACGATCCCTGTAATATTGCTGTACAGTTCAATAGTTTTCACTAGTATTGGACCGAAATTAGCTTCGAAAATTCCACAATCCGCAGACGACCAAACGCAATATATTAATCAGAATTTCCCTGACTCTTTATTTTTCAAACCAATAACCGATGCTGAACTCCTACGTTGAATTAATAAACTGCCGAATAAAAAAAGTGCTGGGTATGATGAATTGAACCGACGCACTAATTATAAAAACGATTGCACCGTTCATTTTAAAACCCTTGTTGAAAATCAATCGGTCATTAGCGACAGATATTGTTCCTACTAATTTGAAAATAGCAAAAGTCATTTCAGTTTTTAAAGCCGGCGACTCTCGAGTATTTAGTTACTATAGACCGATTTCCCTGTTGCCCTGTTTCTCTAAAATCCTAGAAAGACTTGTGGGCGAGCGGCTGAATAAATTTACTGACAAGAATAAGGTCCTAAATCCCACTCAGTGTGCTTTTAGTGCCAACCATTCAACACAGATGGCCCTTAAAGATCTTGTTAACAAAATGACGTCGTCATTAGACAATTCGCGCCATACCATAGGATTTTTCCTAGACTTGTCAAAAGCATTTGACACCATCGATCATACAATATTATTAGTTAAAATGAGAAAATGTGGAATACGAGGAATTGCACTCAAATGGTTTAGAAATTACCTGAAAGAAAGAAAGCAGTATGTTAGATGGCAAAATAATAATTCTTCACTACAATCAATATCTTGCGGTGTTCCCCAAGGGTCTAAGTGGGGCCAATTTTATTTCTCTTATATGTTAATGACTTACCCAGATGTTCAAATGTTTTGAAGTTTATCTTATTTGCAGATGATAATACATGTAATATGTTTTATAGCAGTAACGATCAGAAAGAAGTAAATAAGGAGCTGCAGTCTATTTCTCGATGGATCAATTGTAACAGATTATTAGCTGACCTAAACAAAACTTATGTTTTTTTTCCAACAAGAACCTAGACGAAAATACGATCTCTTACAAAAACAACAACAATAACAGGGTAAACTTGGTTAGACAAAGTACATTTGGCGTAATCATTGATAACAAACTTACTTGGAAAAGCAAATGCCAAAAGGTTTCTAATATGTCGATCTCCCCAGCGTGTACTTGGTATACTCTGGAAGCTCAGATGATGTACCAAAACATTCACTGTTTGCTCTATACAGGACGCTAACTTTACCGCACTTGCAATATGGTATTCTGGCATGGGTTAAATGCAGTATGACTGACCTAAACAAATCTCTCAGGGTAATTAATAACTTAAATAACCAATGTGCACATGCTGCACCCCTTTTTTGCCAATTTAATGTACTTCCCGTCGCTGAGCAATAAATATCATCTTGGAGTTTTTATGTTTACATAGGAGAGGAATCTATTACCTACTTCACTTTGTAATCTTTTTGCTAAGAACTTAGGTATCCATCGGTACTACACAAGAAATTCAAATAAATTGCACTTTTATAGGATAAGGACATCAAAATATCTCTCTACTGTAAGGCACCAAGGACCAATCTTGTGCATTACTATCTCCCTACTTCCCCCATCAGGTCACTCATCTGCTTTAAACAATAGCTTAAGGAATTCCTCCTAAAAATTAAACTTGTAATGATTTAATACTTAATTGAGTTGTGTCCATGCCAGCTTAATTATTGTTTATATGCTTCATTCAATTGATTGATAAAATGTTCAAGATTAACTCTTTTAGTTTCCGAGTATTTTCTGTCATATACGTATGTGTTTTTTCGTCTTTGAAATAATAATCTCTATTAAGTTTTTCTTGTTTCACTTATCCGTTCTCATCGTATTCAATTGTATATAAAGGGCGGGGCCTCGCCTTGTACAAGCACTGAGTAGCTTTCTGCCAGCCTCCACTGTTCATCATGTGCATCAACCAATACAATTTTATGTCACAAGAACTTAAAGACAAATGGATGAATGGAAATAAATCAATCAAACCAAACCAAGATACACAACAGAATCTGCTTGCCCTGAAGAAGGTACCGCCGAAAGCTCGGCAATCACAAGTTTATTTCAGAGCACTGATTTGATTCTTGTAGACACAAACAACATGGTCGCTTGGTGGCGCTATGCGTTTGTACTCGGCTACACGTAGCTTTACGTACATCACATACATGTAATGATGCATGTACATCAGCTACTTTCATGTAGGTACGTACAGGGAGCTTAGATGGTTGAACCAACGTGAGACTTGCAGAAACCAGTGGAAACAATGCCCAAACACGACTTCCTATCTCCAAAGGCTATTGGCAACAGGATAAAATCCAAGGGTCTGCAAAAGTTGCGATGGTTTTGTCAGATGTGTCAGAAACAATGCCGAGACGAAGTAAGTTCTAACCAACATGGCTAATGATAGGGCCTAGGCTAGCCCAGGTGGACATGGTGGATTTCCGACCTGGAGCACTACATTGGGGAAGAATCCCGATTATATGAATATTTACTGATAGGGGCAGTTTGATTTGTTATAAAAAGTCAGTTGAATGTTTAGTAGCAACAACCACAGTCTTGTTCATTGAAGAGGGTGTTTACACTAATCTAAAAACATGATTTACCATAAAAACATTGGTTCTTTTACCAAAAAAGTTATATTTGTTCTTGAATAGAACTTTATGTATACTTTGTCTTTAAGTGTTGTATTACACGTGAAAGGGATATTAATGGAACATACACTGTATGATTATGAAAGAAACCGGCACTTCATGTAATTAAATGTTGACATCCGTATACATGTATCTAAAATGGATAAGTCTGTTATGTTGTGTGAGCTACTATTGGTGCTCTCTATCAAAACATATGAATATGCAGTACAGTTGTTACATACATGAATGTCCTTCCAGAATCAGGTTGATCAAGTTGTTAGGCGGGCACAGTGGGTCGTGGGCTGGCTGACATGCCTTGAAGCCTGGTACTGAACAGCCCTCGACCACGTGTCCTATCCAGGCCAAATCAGCGCGGTACACTGGATCACGGACAACGATGAACAGGCTCAGCACTGAGCATGCTGGCTCATATCGGTTGTTCGGGACGACAAACACGACTGACTAACGACTTGATTTCAAGTCTACTTGACACCCTGTGCACAAAACCTATGAGGCTGGTCTGAAAACTTTTAAAGTTTTTTCTAAGTAAAGGCTTGTATATTTTCCCTGCTAAATTTACATTTTTAAATGAAGACATGTCAGGCCAATTGTTATTGCATTTTGATGGCTGATTTAGCACCACTGCAGGGAAAAATATATGGAACTCTTTCCAAATGCATTTATTATATTTTATTGTAAAATATTTCCTACCCTTCAGCTGTGCCTTTCAAAGAAAAAATAATGTATCATGTAATACTGAAGTGTATACACATGTACATTAATGTTTAGATAGGCTGACCAACATGTACATGTTAGCATATGGTACACTGACACCATACAATTTGGTTTTGGTATTGTTTCTCTTTATAGAATGGCTTCAAGTGTCACACCATGTCTGAATCCCACCAGAGACAGCTGCTCCTCTTTGCTGAAAATGAGGAAAAATTCTTGGACCATTTTTCAGAGTGAGTTCTTTTGTCAGCACAGAGTGGCTTAAATATTTCATGTGTCCGATGAGAGTTAATGAGTGTAAGATGAACTTATTCGTATTGTAGTGCTTGAAACCCCACATCATCATCTGCTTAATATGAAGCTAAGTTTACATTGTATGATAATCAATCTACACTTCGTTTTCTCAGTTGTAAACCTGAATACACGTTTCAAGAGGTAGTTTTTGTGTCATGTTAATTTTTGGAAGGGGTTTTGCCCTTACACTAACGTACGTAAGGGCAAAACACCTGTTACTAAAAATAAGCACCTCCATGATGCAAAATACATCTACATCTTGAAATAGTTTGTTGTAGCCGCTGCTACATCTGACTCAGAACGACTAGCCAACCTTGGCAAGCTCGGTGGTCTAGTGGTTAAGACGTCTGCCCTAGTATAAGTAGGAGATCGTGGGTTTGATCCAAGTAAACCCTGGTAATACATGTACATCACAACGTGACCTCAGGTTACAGCTTGCCCGTAAATGTGGAGAATGATGCATTAACCTCATTAACCTGTAATGGAAATCATTCTTGTTCGTGCAAGATCAGCTTAGCAACAAACAACAGTAGTGTGGATGCAGTACTTTTTCCTGTGCATAATTTTGTTACATTTCTAACATGACACTTTCCCTCACTAATGTTTTTTTTCCTCCTGCGCTGACGACAGGGAGTTTTTTGACACCTTCATGGAATTGCTGCGGCGGCGCTACAACACTCGACGCGTCCACTGCAATGTCGTCTACAACGAGTACATTCAGGACAAGCAGCACTGCCACATGAACGCCACCAAGTGGGAAACGCTGACCGAGTTTGTCAAGTGGCTTGGCAGAGAAGGTCAGCTGTAATTACCCCTAATCCCCTAGGTCCTTTTTGCTAGGGACCCTCCTCAATCCTCCAGAATCCTCCAATTTGGGGGGTGAAAAAATTGGATTCTCCCTCAGTCCTGTGAAATCCTCCAAAATTTCTTGCAACAAACAAAAATAATAATGGTGCACAGTGTGCATATAACATGTACGCGTACATACGGGTGTATGGAAAATGGACATTTTCCTCTGCCAAAGTTCATCAAGTACTACATTCCAATTTTTCCAGATATGTACAAAACTTCAAACTCACTGTGGCTGGGGCTTCATAAGTGCACTGGAGTGTAGAGGAGAATGGGAGGAAAGATAAAGGTGTCCTAAAAACCTCAAGCAACTAGAAGTAAACAAAAACGCATCAAAAGGGGGAAAAGAGATATTGAAAACAGAAATATTGAAAACGTATGTAATATGCACACAGACACAGATAGGATGTACACGTTGCAGTGCTGTATGCTGTGCGTCAACAAATCAGGGCCAATGTTTTTTTCAACTTTCTCAGAACACAAGTGCCCTGGCCGGCCCCACGTCAAGGGGAAGATTCCTTTTGTCCGAAAATTTGGGACCGAGTTGTGGAAATTTGTCCCCGTAATCTGGTAATGAGGTTGTCTCCACAACAGCTATCACTCAGCACACGAAGTCCCTACAGATTTAGTGCCAGTACAGGGGCACTGGCATCGTACCGAAGACTTGACTAGTGTTTTGCAAGAAGTTCATTCTACTTTTTTTGTTCATCCGTCCGTCGTGCAGGCTACTGCAAAGTGGACCAGACTGAGAAGGGCTGGTTCATCGCGTACATTGACCGCGACCCGGAGACCATTGCCCGGCAGGAGAGGCTGGCCAAGAAGGAGAAGCTGGAACTGGACGATGAGGAGCGAACCCAGAAGTACATCCAGCGGCAGGTGGAGAAAGCCGCCGAGGGCAAAACAGTGCAGGTGAGTGATAAGACCCCTCATGCAGATGCTTACAAGCAAAGAAACCACTGGCTTTATGAAACTCAGTTTGCGAGCCAAAATGTCATTCCACATGTTCCATGTGTTTTGCTCGTGAGTGACATCGGTGTCCGTTGTCCATCTGTAACAATGTTTTACCAGCATGCACATGCAAGCCTAGTTGACAATTGGTGGTAATAATCGCCGGCAACATGCAAGATGTCAAGGTACGGGCGTTAGCGAAAGAGACGGTGTTTGATGTCATCCAACCAAAAAGTTAGAGCAAAAGGGAGACTGTAACTCTGAAAATGTTTGCATGAAATGTCTTTTTAAGTGGTTATACTGTTTCTTAAAGCTCACTTCAATTCAATATATGTCATGTAATAGTCTTCTATTTTGTTGATAATTAGGATTTCATTTCTCAGTTAAAGGGAGGAAATGGGACAAGTCTGTGGTACTTGAGTGAGACATCGTTGTGCACTCATTAAACTCATGTACTTGTTTCCATTGGCTGACAAACTCAGTGCAACCAGTCAGCTATTAAGTTCAATATGATCCAGTGTTGCTGACTTTGTATCTGTACTTGAGTCAGTTGCCATCAGACGTCCCCATATGATTGTGTATTATCAGGGACTGCCCAGTGATGCTGTCTGCGTCTCCTTGAAATGGAAACTAGGCCTTATTTGCTTATTGTTCTCAACCTGTCATGGCATCTATTACACAATATCATGCTGTTGTTTTCATGGATTTACACCATAAAAAACATGTACAGAGACCTATGAGGGTCCACTGTCACATAGCATTCCTTCAATCGTTGCTGACCTCCTGTTGCAGGACACTGGCCAGGAATATACAGAGCTGCAGCGTGACGAAGGCGAGAGTCTGGTCAGTTTCAACCTGGGCAAAATGGCCACAGCAGCTTCCAAAACAGAACCGAGCAATAGCACGATGACAGCTTCCAGTCAGCTGAAAGCAAACATTTCGAAAGATGGCAAAACGTGAGATAAAAATTCTTCGCCTGTGTTTCCATTTTTCGGTATAGGGAATTAACAGACAGACAAGGTCAGATATAATGTTTGAGGCCCCTTTTCCTTTCGCTGGACTTTTCTTTTAAAAGCTTCAGAGAAACCTGCAACTCAAAAAACCTTCTCCATAATTTACGCTTTTGTTTATTTCATCTTGGTCTCTTAAATGACATGTAAATTGCCAAAATTGACTAGCTGTGGTTGCTTCATCAACTTAATTAATGTAACACAAGCCTTTTCAAAATCACTTGGAATTGTCACAGAGTATTTGGAGATTACAGTGCTGAAATGGACAGTAAATAAATGCAGTTGGTGTTATGACAGAAGTTTTACACACTTGTGATTTTTGCAGGCCGCCCAGTTGGTCTAACCCCTTGAAAGACTCGGCCCCAGGCAAAAAGAAAGACGGCAACAGCCATGGCAAGGGGGAGAAGAGGAAATCTGCTCTGGATGAAATCATGGAGGTAAGCAACCTAGGATGGATTGCTGTAAGACTCTTAACCCTTTGACGACGGGAATTTTTTTTCCGAAAGCCGACTCCAAGAATTCCAGCCTTGCTTGGCCACGAAGGCCACCTGCCAAACCGCAAATTCACAATTTGTGGCCCTGCGTGCTCTGCATGCTTTGAATTACACAGTGAAAAGGCTGATTGGTCGGTGGCATGCGGCTCTACTCAAGCTTCCACATTCCCGTTGCCTCTTTTCAAAGTGCGGATTGTTGTGAAGCTGGTAATTATGATGCAAATTCGACTTTTATTTCTGGGCTACACACAAAGGCCAATCACCAGGGTCAAATTAAACGCAGGCCAAGTAGGGCTAAGCCATTTTTTTTAATAAATGAGACCTTTGACTTTTCCCAGACCAATCAAATTACAGCAGCCAAGAGACAATAGAACAACTGTGTTCGTTCATTCCTTTACCTGATCTGTGTATTTACATGTACTATGCTTTTTATAGTCTTCCAGTCTGAGCTACATTCATACCATGCTGCTGATCACTATACCTCATGCATATTCATGACAGATCACCAAACTCTCATTGGTGCATTCATGGTCAAGCGCCAGCCGCTATTTTTGCTAATTGCCAAGTGCACACACGATCGTTCATGCAAGGAGTAAATATGAATGCGTTTAACTGTCACCCGGATAAGCCAGGCGACAGTTAAAAACGCATGCGCAGTAGCAGAAAATCCAGGAACTGTTGCCCAGGTGTACTGTGCACTCATGGTGGTGCCAGCCTAGCATGGGTAAAAGCTTATATGAATAGATGGCGGCACGGCAGCACATGTAAAAGACAGTCAAATGAAGTGTTTGTGTTTCAACCTTAGGAACAAAATAAAACTTTGTGGAAACAAATTAATGATGATGTTTTTATTTTCAAAGGTTAATAAACGAAAGACGTGCGAGGGACAGTAAAACAAATATAAATGGTTTACTTTGGTTGGACAGTCGATGTTAGAACCCCTCGGCTGTCAAACCTCAAGCCATGTTATATTTGCATACTGTCTCACTGTTTGTCTTTGTTGACTGTCAGGAGGAGGAAAAGAAGAAGAAAGCCAAAGTAACTCACACCGAGAACTGGCTGACAGAGGGCATTGTAGTCAAGATCACGACAAAGAGACTGGGAGAGAGGTTCTATAAGAAGAAAGGTGTGGTCCGGGTAAGAGCTTCAAACAGCTCCATGCAGCTTCATATAAACCAAGGCTGCATGACTTGGGAATGGAGGAATGTGGACTGTGGGTGGTGATAGCACATAATGTCACTGTTGAGACTACGGGAATGATTGTTTATTTTAAAGTTGGACGGAAGTCTTCATTTAAATTACAACTGATGTTGAGGATATCAAGTAATCCTGCCAAAGCCAAAATTATTACTTCTACCTGATGGAGGTAGCTGAAATCTCATTCACAAGTTTCTCTATGTCTACAATTACCCAGTTGTTCAGCAAAGGTAATTATAGAAAAAAAGAACAGAATAACTGGCCCTTGATTGCCTTTTTTTAATGACTTGCCCCTCCCAAATTGCAATGTGGATTCATCAGCACAGGTCACGCTAGATTGGGTTGGGTCCATCTTCAGATGTGTGGGTAGTTAAAGGGTAGCTTTTTCATATAGGAGGGTGTTTTTCTCAAGGTTCATCTCTGCCAATTGCTATTGTGTGCCGTATTTAGGGCCAGCAAGTTCTGGATGTTTCACCAGTGACCTGATATGTGAACATTGTTTCAAAACATCAGAAAACCAATTCACTTTATACAACTGCAGAATGTAAAAACGATGAAGCGATTCAGTACCTTTTCACTGTCTCAGAACTATTTTACTTGTGAGATCTGCCGACATCTGTACTTTTGTACTGAATTTATAATTCAGTGACTTATTTGCTTGTTGACACCACTTTTCATTTCCACATGTACATAAGTAGTGTCTTCCTAAGTGAATGTTATGAATTCCTGAGGATCAGTTACTGCAGTCGGTGCACCTACTGGGCCACATGCGGCGGTGCCAGTGTAGGTTCAATCAAATAATCTGTTGCCTTTTCATTTGCAGATGGTTGAAGATCTGTTCACGGCCGTTGTGAAAATGATGGACAGTGGGGCAAAAGTCAAAGTGGACCAGCTTCACGTGGAGACGGTTATCCCCTCACCAGGTAATATTGGAACAGGTTAATCACTTTACATGCAAAACCAGGTCAATGACATATGTCGCTCTTCTTATTTAGCTCTTCACAAGATAGGACAAATTCGAAAATTCCTCGACCAACAAATGACAGAAAAGCTTGTTCATGCTTTCATCTCTTGCTGCCTCGGTTTCTGCAGTAGTCTATTACATCGTATTCCTGATTCTCAAACTTCGAAACTTCAGCGCATTCAGAATTCTGCCGCCAGACTTGTTACACGTTCATCATCTAGGCAACATATAACTGCTATTCTTCGCACTCTTCACCTCTTGTAGGGTGCTGCAGAATGAAAAGCCACTTTTCCAAATCTTGTGTACTTTTACGTGTATTTCTGTTTTGCTCCTGAGTTCCCAGTTGCATGCCTGTGAAAGAAACATTTCTTGCTCGGAGGAAATTTTAGAATTAAGTTTTAAAGACGCAAGGCATTTGTCTCATTGAGCCAGTTGGGTATACAAAAACCCAAGGTCATTCAGGAACAAACCACTTGCATACGTCTGTGTAGAGCCACGCTGATCGGGCAAACCTTCATTTTGGGCAGGCGTGGTTGGAATATTGAACTGGCGCATTAGCACTCTGATAGCTTTGGGGAGGTTAGAGCTCAAAAGTTAGGCCTGCTCCAGGCCCGCATTGCAGCAGAGAGCACTAAAAAGTACAATATGGACACTGCAGTAGTTGCTTACGTGTACCTTTGACCTTTGACCCACAGGGAGAATGGTGTTGGTGGTGAATGGCCCTCACAGGGAACAGCAGGCCTCTCTGGTTGCCCTCCAAGAAGAGACTTGCTCTGTTTCGATCAAACTTCATACGGTAAGCTCTAAAACGATCTGACACAGGAGAAAAATACATTCAGGAATGTGGCATGTGCAGTACATGTACATTAAGGTCGTACAGTATATGCAGTTGAGACAGATGCATTGTTAGTAATGTCTACTACTTCAAGTTAAGGTCTCATATTTTACGTTCCTGTGACCTGGTGCTTTGAAGTCATATCTGCTAAAAATGTTCAGGGAAAAGATCCCCTTTTTGAGTTGATATTTGAGTTCATTTGTTCCTGTATTCCCCTTGAAAGATCTTGGTATTCCAACACCGTGGCATGGAATAAATGTGAATGATGATGTTATGGCAAACATCCCGAGGGCGTCACATCCTGTAACATTTCCCTCATGTACCTGTTTCTTGTCAGCAAAGAAGAAATAATAGTGCAAATTTTGTGGCTACATTTTGGTTGTTGGTATTCCAATTTATGCATTGAGAAGGTGGACCAGCATCCAATTTCATAAAACAGGTATGAGGTGTAAGAGATCAATCATGTATCTTTACTGAGGAGATGTAAGCTTGGAACCAGTCATTAGTGGCATGTGGTCCACTCTATGATGAGTCAGATGTCACCAGAGGTGCTTTTGAGTTATAGTTTGTATTGGAAAGAGCAAACTGAACTCTTTGTTGTGGCTTATTACTCAGTTTGGCATCCATGGACCCTATTTGAGTGAAAAATAATCAGGGTTCCTACTACTGATTTACACTGTGCAAAGTTCTCTTACTGACCATTAAGTGCCCAAGCAAGTTCTGTCTCATTTTCACAGAGCAAGTTACATGTATAAGCCACTTTCAGTTTGGCTGGTAACCGGGGTCCAGTTTCATAGGGTTGATAAGTGGAGGATTTTTTGGCTAATGGGACTGCTTTCCATTTCACAGGCACCCTAAGAAGTAAGCACACAAAAGAGGTCGCTAACTTCAGTGGCAGAATTTGCTTACCTTTGTGATATGATAGAAATCTCCATGCACGAGGAAGCGTCAGCACGATGTTACTAAGAAAATAGCCTGGAAGCTTGTAAAGTTTTTCTTCTATGGTTAAGCCCACAACTTTTTGGCTTAGTCTTAACCCCAGCCTATTTTGGCTAGAAACCCTGCCAGACTCATCAAACTGCATTCATTTGTCAAAGGGGCTTGCCTGCCCAGTGTAACAAGAACCAACAGGTCAACTCTTTCCAAGGCCAAACAGCCTGGGAGTTTGTGGTTGCCGGTCACCACAAGATCCAACAGTGGAATAGTTCAATGGAACTAGCTCCCATTGTCTCAACATGGTCAGTTAGTGCAGCTGCTGTTGATTACCAAGTGCCTCAAAGTGCGTCAAACTTTTTCACCTGATGGACCGTGCTTCGTCTGGCAGGTTTAGGGTTAAGCAACCCTGCAAAAACAGGCCCTGGTTTTGCTAATTTATGTGTATAGCAGTATCTCAGCTGCATAATTGGCTTTTGAACAACATGGAGAAACCAATAGTTGAGTGGGATTTATTTCTGTCTGTTTGTACACACAGGGTCCTTTGGCAGGGAAGACCGTGAGTGGCATTCCATACGAGGATGTGTCCAAGCTTGCCCCACAAGACACATGACAGACATGTGATTCCTACATGGAAACAAATAACATTTAGTATTACACAATGCCTGAATAAGTTCCAGTCATCTGAGTGGTGGGTCACATGTTACTGAATAATTCATGCCAACATTGGGCCCAGCCACACTGCAGTAACCGAAGCTCCATTCAACTGGCAAACGTCAGTTCCATGACTAGGTCACAAGAAGCTTCCGAATCCATTGGTGGCGGAATATTTAAAGCAGGAGGGGATTTTTTTATGAAACTAGCAATAAGTATTTGGAATGGAAAGAATAATTTCATAAGAGTGTCAGGCGTTCCATTCTCATTTTGTGAAATTATTCATTCCATTGCACTCAAATGTACTTGTGGTATCTATAAGGGTAATTCCAGAAATAAGAGGTCCATTTTTTCCCGGCCCCGTCACATCTAGCATATAATTTTATAAGTTCAGAACACATTTTCTAATTTCTAAGAGTGATGAATTGATGCAAATTACCTGCCAAACAAATAGCAATAGTTTGAAATAGATTTCTGGTGATATTCCCATGTCAAAGAACAAAGGTCAGATGTAACAGGGGCACACAAATTTCACACTTTTGGACCCTTAATTTCTGGAACTACCCATTTGAGGAAGCCAGAACGAAAAGAAATAACTCAGCTTAGAAACTGCAACTTTCTCTCTCAATCTTTGCTGTGTACGCTACGAATTGGGAACAGATTGGGAAACTTCATTAGGAGTGTTTTGAAATCTTGCTGTCTAAACATTTCTGCATCAAGGGATTGCTCTGTTAAGTCATTCATTTTAATTCAATGAAATGTCCGATTTCTGTGGTTGATTATAAATTTCAAAACAATGAATTCTAGATGTCAGAGTTACAAATTAGTTCTTTGGCAATCCACATCCCAGCATTATCAGCTGCTGGAAACCATGGAATTTAAGATTGCTTTTGGGGTAAAGTTTTGAAATGTTTTTATCAAATGAGATCTTTGAAGGGAAACATAACCTGGTCATTTCTACCTGGATTTTTTTTTTTACTCTTTACATTGAAATAACTCAAGGTCTTGATGGTCATGTTTTCGTAAAATGGAGCTCAAAGTTGAGTACTTGTGTTTTTGTTTGACATGACATTTGACTCCGAAAACATTTTGAATGTATATTTTGTGTTTGGCAACCGGTCAGTAGACAGGCCAAGTGGTTTTAAAAAAAAGTGGACAGAAAATGAAAGACAACCAAAAATAGGTTGACATACTGAATATGTACGTGATTGAATATTCATTTAGTGTGTACATGTGTATGTATACATATACTTGCAGGCACTTTTGAGAAGTTGGAACTGTCCCAGTGACCCTTATTGTCACAGCCATAATTTGTCTTGGGAAAGACAGGTGACAGGCAAAGGAAGGATTCAATGTTTCACCCAGCTTCATAATATGAAAATATGTAATTATTGCTATTGTAATGTAAGATAGGATTGTAAGAGGTCTGTACATTAAACTTCCAGCTGTACAAACAGTGTTGCATTGAGGAGTTTTATTCACTGCTGCCTAGTTTTTTGTGTTGCAGTTTTACCCTCCACAAACGTTGAGTGGCTTTGCTTTTTTCTGTTTTGTCCGGCTTCTCATGTTTCTGCATTTGAAATTTTTTAATAACCACCCTCCTAACTGAGAATGCTGGTGACGGTTGCTGCCTTGAGCATAGAGTATTATTTTCTTTAAGCCCATGTAGGGTAAAACTTATCTGACCAATAAAGTTGGATGTCATGTCATTGGACACGTGCATGTGTGGAATACATGTGCAATGGTTAACACAATAAACTCATGCCTAAGTCATGAGTTTGCAGTACCATTAAGAATTCACGTTTGAGAGTTTGTTAACCTCGAAGGGAACTCATTGTTTCGGAAAACTTCAGGAGACTGGCGATGGACAAAGCACACAGTCTAAAACTTTGAACGATGAAATGGTTAGAATTTCATAACCTTACAAACCCTTAATTAGGTAGTTCTTAGATGATGATACTCCAAACTTACACCTGCTGAACTTTGCTGCACCCTCAAATTCTCTCATGTCAGTGCTTTGTTGTGACTGTTAAGTGCCTCTTCCAACAGTATGTGAAAGACACGGTGCTCTTGGATATTGCAGTGGGCAATTTAATGCAACCAGAAAATGAATATCATCTGGATTCACACATTTTTTTCAAATATTTGTATATATTACTCAGAAATGTTGGATATTTTAATCAGCGATGTACATGTAATCCCGGGCCAGCTTTAGGTGTGAGGGGGAGGTAAATTCAAATGTAAATGCGGCTTTGGGCTCATTCAACATGATGTTGGGGAGAAACAAATCAAAAGCCTTATACTTACCGTCCTGACATCCTTGCTTTTATTTGCTGGTGTTGTTTTCTTTGGGCTTTGATGGTACTATTTGGCCGATTACTTTCTTTCTATTCACCTATGGTATACTTAAAAAAAAGACCATGCACAAGATCTACTAGGTAAACAATGGCCTTGTATTTCATTTGAATAGCTTGTGGCTTGAATTCAGATGGGAGGTCTTGTGAAGGTCTTAGGTGGTCTCGACTACAACCCTGCCCCCCCCCCCAAGAAACGTTCCCCCTACTAGATACGCCACTGCATCAATGTCCTCTTTTTAACCCAAAACAAGTTTATTTTTATTCCAAGGCATACACTTCTACTTCTGCTAATTTGACTCAGCAAGGTCTATAAATATTATGTGCCTTGTTAATAATTTTGAAATTACATCTGGAAATATATTTCCTGTTAGGTAATCAAACCAGCTGTTTCAGGTTTTTGTTGTGGGTATTGCATCCTTTACCCTCTCCCTGAAAGGTTGGCAGACGACGGACACCGTACAATAATTCAAGACAAAACAGTAGCTGCGAATGCGAACGTTGCGAACAGGGTTGCGAACGTAAACCACACACTGCAGGGCAGCTATCTTCGACGGGTACCCTAACAACCGCTCAACAACGTCGTTTTGAAGATGAGAGAAGTCAGGAAACTCAATCCCAATCTGACGAAAAACATTGTGGCACAAATGTCTTTCCCGAAGACATGTTCTAAGAAAAGATTGATACATTTTAGCTGATATACATCAGCTGGTAAGTAGTTAATTATCATAACTATTAATACACGTAGATACTAGATGACGTACACTATGCATGATTAGGCCTAACATGCCTGTTTAGCCCAGCAGTACAAGTAGCACTAGCAGCAGTAGCAGCCCCCATTATGCCATGAATGCCAATTAATTTAATTTTAAGGCCTAGGCCTAATGCTTTACTTTTAACATGGAGAAATAAAACACATGCTTTTAACAAGCAGATAAGGCTGTGTTAGTGTTAGTGATTAACTCACTAACACTAGTGATAGTGAGTGTTAGTCACTCACTCACTCTTTCTCAGTGTTACTAGTAACACAAGTAACAGTGTTACTAATTCTGGTGTTAGGCCCCTACATGCAGACATATACATGAGGGCTAGGCCTACCTACGGTACATAAATAATTGCACCCTTCTTGCATGATTTTTATATCAGACATATTTAACACTTTAACAACAGGCCTTATAAACATGATAAATGACAGTACATACATGTAAAATTAGGGACCTGGCGACTGTAGGCCTACGGTCATTTACCCCCAGAACTGTGGGGTCTGACATCCGCCCTGGCCGCTCCCACAAACTCCACAGAAAATGAGCCTTTTTTGCCGTAGGCTCGAGGCTACATCAGTACATGACATTTAACATGTTTAACAGGGCATGATCTTGTGTTGTGTACTAATATAAATCTATTCTGCCAAGAGTTCTATGTACCAAGAAAAAAAATGGGCCAAAACCATGCCGATTTGGGACCAAATGGTTGACTACAGCTGCGAAATATATATTGGCCTACACAAGATATGGAAATTGGCTGCGGCCACTTTCCCTACATGTACAGTGTGTGTGTCTAATTCTTACCTGTGACTGGACTGACTGGTTGAAATGGCACTTGGCTGCCTTTCCCAAATGGCAAGAACGACAAGCAACAGCTCGTGGGTCTTAGTACACATGAGGGATGCCGTTGCAGTGTGAATGATGTCTGTGGAGCAAGTGCCATCTCGCACGTGGCTCACAGTGATCTTTGGTCTTCCATAGACGTTAACTGTTCGTATGTAGCTTCAAGGTTTATTCTGCAGCCTTTACAGTAGAAAGGGGAAATGATGCCACTTGGTCACAGAAATTCTTGGTATGAGTGGGATTGGACATTGTACATGTACATACTATGGTTTGTATGAAAAGGGATCTGGAATTGCCACACTTACTGTACTGGGTGTACAATGGAGTATGGAAAGAGTTCTGTGTCTGTTCACCAGTGTAACTGGTGATAGTAGAACCTTAAGAATGTACGGTACTAATGCCAGTATGTTGCCATGCTTTGCTTTCCTCATACATTCACTCAGTAGCGCTAGTAGTTGGAGTCTGGGACTTTTCCAGTTCAGGGCATTGTCATAGCAATAGGGTCTGTCATTTTATCAAAAATTTGAGTTACAAGATTTCATTCAGAATTGACTGGTGGTACATGCATGTACATACGTATGTACATACGTTTGCACATACGTATGCAGCAAGCATATCAGTGCATGGTGTTTTTCTCACTCTCTGACTGACTGTATCAGTCCTTATTGTTAATACTGTGCATACATTTATATACATTTGTAGCTTCAGAAACCCAATTCTAAGGTTTATTTGTATGGGGAGATTGGTCATTAGAGTTGAAATTCCCCCAATGGCTCACTGGGTACAGGGTAGCGTTTGCCAGCAAATTTGATTTTAGGGCCAATTTTTTCCACTATTGTGAAACACGGTGAAGAAGTGCTAAGAATTCAATGAAAATTTTGATGAAAGTACATAAATGTACTTGCATCAAGTTGAACCATGTGTACAAACATCTTCAACTTCTTCTTTTATTAATTAATACATGTACATGTATGTATGATTCTTAATTAATGTGAAGGGGTCGAGTTATATCAATAAATGTTTTTTATGAATTTGATTGCTCTGGTTTTTTTAATGCATGGAGATTTGAATGTGATTGTAATTAGTAATGGTTAAATGGATTGCTTATTTATTGGTTTTTCATGTTTTGTTTGTTACGTGTAAATTTGTCCAAACTTAAGGGATCCAAATGGAAGTAAAAAGGTGTAATTGGCTTTCTTGTGTTATCCCAGAATGAATCAAGCATGTCTTGTTTTCTCTACGTACATGTACATTAATACAGTTGTTATTAAGTTGATTGATTTCTGAATGAAATAATAATAATAATAATAGTCCAGAAATTAAACTTAGAAATCAGATTACAGTGTGTACATGTAACTGTTTACATGTACAATGTACATGTAAGGTAGGTTTTCATGGCACTCATGTTCAGTGCTGGTAAACGAGAACAGTACAGTTTGTGCATATTCATGTACATGTAATTCATCATTTTTAAGAATTTAATGTCAGTATTTTATATGGATTCAATTCAGATTAAGGATTTGTTTACCTGTAAGACCAATTCTTTAGTTAGTTTGTTTTGGTTGAACCATTTTTGTCCCAAAAATAATTTCTTAATCGGATTATTTTAAGAGCATGAACAAAATCTCTTGGATTGGTGGCACACATGGAACATGTTTAAATGGTACCTATGCATGTTCACATGCATATGTACATGTATGTACAATGTATGCACTCACAATAATGTACATTCTATGATTAGCTATATGTACTATTGGTACATACATTGTAGTGATATATTTTTCAATTTTCAGTTTTAGTTTTTAGCTTCATAGGCATTCACAATCAGTGTTTGACTGCCTACTGGTATGGTACATGTAGAGTACATTGAAGTAGCCTTTCTGTTTTCAGCCCAATTTTGATATGTTGTTGCCATGGTGACTCATCCCTAAAAACATCATTTTGCAGCCAGCAAAATGGGTCATCCATTTCTGTCCCAGACTGCACACTGCGGGGGAGGCAGATACCGGTACCTACTAGTACATGTACATGTAGGTCAGTCACGCTTTTAGAAAATACTATATGTACCTGTATGTCTACATATTCGTGTATTGTATTTCAAGTGATGGTGATCAATAGCTTTTTCCTTTCTTGCTTGCTTTAAGAAGGGGGAAGGGGTGGGGGAAGAGCACACTCTGTGTACTCTTGAAAATGATGAGTGAAATAGATGACTTTACCGGTGCATGAGTAAGTTGGCCTGTGCATTTAGGGGTGTCATTGGAATGTGTACCCACATGTTGGTGACTGCTGCGTGTTGGAGTTGGAGTTCATTTTCCATTATGTCACAGTGGTAATGAAGTAAATAAATAGGAAATAAATAAATTTTAGGAAATATGCAAATCATCTGTCCACTATTTTGTAATGTTTGTCTCAAGTATTTTTCGCTTTACGTAAAACTCATAAAAGACTAATCTTATGAGTACATTACATGCATTGGGTACAAAATTGAATTCAATAAAATAAAAAGTCCTTCAGTAAGAGTCGTTGCATTTTGTTGAAAAGGGAGTGAGAAGACTGTCCTCATCAGGTTATGATGTATGTGACCAACATGTACTGTATCTGTCCATGTTACCAACGTTAAGACCTGTCCATACAAACGTTACTCACTGAAAAAAACCTACGGATTATTAAACTTTAGTTTAATAGTCTTTTTAATGAATAAGATTTTGAAAATGAACAAGTTTGGCATAAACACACAAAAAATGCCTGTCCCATGTGACAAACATTGTATTCGAGAAATAGTTTTTCAAACAGTGTTTTATCTTTAACTTGAATTGTCTTTTTGTGGTCATATAAGTTTCTATAAAGTAAACTAAAAAGAATATTTATTACAGTGCAGGTAATGATCAATCATATTTTGATTTAATTTTCAGATTTAAACACAAATGTCTGTCCATGTGACAAGCATTACAATCAATGTCTGCCCATGAGACAAACAATAGAAGAAATCATAAGTACATGTACTTGTACATGTATAATTTGTCAATGCCGAGTTATTTAGATCACAGAATACCTGGTACATCACATGTATACATGTATTTGGAAATTTTAAATGAGGTCTACAGACCCCTTGCTGTTTTTACTTTTTGATATCAGGGGAAAAAATTTATACACATACCTGTCTTGTCTCTCCAGGTGACAAACATTACTTTTGTTGTTCTTCCTAGAATTTCTTAAGAAAGAAGAAAGTTTCTTTGAAAGTTCAATTAACATTGTTGGTTTTGTGTCCATATACAGGAACAAATATCTGAATTGTTCTCACTTAAAACTACATGTACTGTCAGGCAAAGGAAACTGTCTCTCCATATATTTTTACATATACACATATTTTTTCAGTATGACAGACCCACCTACACAGATTTTAAGAAGCAGCTAAAACTGTCAGTTGAATTATAATGCAAATGACAACATGATTCATCTGGTTTAACTCAAACATTTATTTCCATACAAGTACAATTGTATTTTAATGTAAATATTTGTCTAATTATGCAGACGGTTGATAAACAATCTTGACTTTTTACTGTATACAAGAGTAATACAACACCATTGAGAAAGGGGGCAATACGGCATCATATTCAGAAGATACAGCATTTTATACAGAAATGCATTATCAAAAGAAAAGCTAAACAAACAATATGAACAATAAACCATTCAGGAAAGACAAGAATGGAGCAGTGAAGACAAAGCAAGCAAACAGAAAACATGAATGAATAGACTGAGATGTACTGATGTAGACTTGAAATGAAAACACTTAAGGCGTTTAAAAGAACAAAAAAAGATAACATTAAAATAGATTGAGAAAAGAAAAGGAGTAACCTCATGTAATTGCATACAAGGTGTCTCTCAAATGGTTCATGATTTGATAACCCCTTTGATATTCTGAAGACGGGGGTCCATCGAATCTTGTGTTCAGCGAATAGGATGTGCATGCAAAAGAGAAAATCAGATTGAGACGAGCTCTAGTGCCGTGCCTGTAATTACAGTGAACTGCAGTGAAGTAAGAAGAGAATGGAGAAAGAAGATTGTTGACGTGCTTGGACAAGTTTTGAAAATCCCCATGTGAAG